TGTAGACATTCTCATCATCGAATGGAGAGGTCCATGCGGTGGATAACTAAGTTCTCCCACTGACAGCCAGTGCGACGTTGCACAAGGGGGTGAACCACTTGGAAAGGGCACTTTCAGCCTGAGTCAAGACATCATGTGACAACAGCCTAGACTCACAGCTTGACTGTAGCTTTTTTTGGGGGGGGGTGGCCTTGTGATTTAATGTATGTTTTCCTGATTACTCATACAACCAGTCATTGTCATGTGATAAAATAGAGATAAAACCAATATATAAAAGGTCATAATAGGAATGAGCCTTGCAGACAAAGACAGGACCAGGAGCATGCTGCATGTAGGCCAGCGCTTCTCAACCTTCCTAATGCTCCAACCCTTTAATACAGTTCCTCATGTTGTGGTGAAACCCCCTCCAACTATAGAATTCTTTTCTTTCTTTTTTTTTTAAAGATTTTATTTATTTATTATGTATACAACATTCTGCCTGCATGAAGAGGGCGCCAGATCTCATTACAGATGGTTGTGAGCCACCATGTGGTTGCTGGGAATTGAACTCAGGACCTCCGGAAGAGCAGCCAGTGCTCTTAACCACTGAGCCATTTCTCCAGCCCTAGAATTATTTTCATTGCTACTTCATAAGTGTAATTTTGCTACTGAGGGATGTCTTAGTTACTGGGGTCATTGGAAATGTGTGCTTTCTGATGATTGCGACCCACAGGTTGAGAACTGCTGATCTAGGACGTTGTGCGTGGTTTGGCAACTTCCTTGAATCTAACACAAAGTAGAACAGGATGGAGGCTATGCTCCAGACTCCAGGACACTAAGTAGGAGGCTAATGGGAACACCAAGCTCTGAACACTTACTAGGCATCCACTACTTTAAATAATAGGAAGACTTAAGCAAAATGTTCCTGTTCATAAAATGGGATATGATTCATCCAGAAAAAGGAATGATACTCTCACAACCTAAGTCTAGTTGCTAGAGTCCACATAAAGATGAAAGGAAAGAATCAGCTCCTCAAAGTTGTCTTCTGACCTCAGCTCACAGGTCTGCTCCTGAACCCAGCGCTCATCATCATCGCTCATCACAGATTAGCAATCCGCCTTTCTCTGCCTCCCCAGATCTTGGATTACAGTGGCGAGCCAAGTCTTTTTTGTAGGTGCTGGAGATCCAAACTCAGGTCCTCATTCTTGTGGGCCAAGGACTTTAATAACTGAGCCATGCCCCAACCCCAAAACATTCTTTTGATAACTATTGATAAATCTAGTGAACAAAAATGAAAAGGCTAACAGCACTTGAATAGAATTACTGTGGTCTCTTGTGGAAACATGGAGTGCTTCCCCCCACCCCAAGAGATTTTCTTTTTTCATTTATGGGAAACCATCCTCATGGACAAATGCTCAGAGCTCCTTTTTTCTGTGCTGGGAATGGAAATCAGGGTCTCACACATGCTAGGCACAGGTTGTAATGCTGAACCAGGTCTCCCCTCCCTGTCAGGCCCTATTTAAACTCTGTAATACCTTCAATTTCCTCAGCAGCTCCTGGCTCTGTGAAGGACAGAGGCATAATTCCCACGCTGGTTTCTGAATGGTTACCAGTATGCACCAGGGTAAATTTTGAGAGACAGAATTTCAAAAAACAAAACAAAATAAAACAAAATAAAAAACAACAACAAAACAAACCTGTTGAGGGACTGGAGAGATGGCTAACCAGTCAGGAACTCTTGCTGTTCTTGTGGAGAAGCGGGGTTTAGTTTCCAACACACACATAGGGCAGTTCACAACTGACTGTCACTCCCAATTTAGTGAATCTAACACCCTCTTCTGGCTTCTGTGGGTACCTACAAACACAGGCATGCACACATACAATCAAAATGAATAATCTTGAAGAGAATACTGCCTTGAGTTCAAAACTACATTCCTATTTAAAGAATCAAAATCAGATTTCATGGGATACACTCACTATACTCAAATTCACTTTATTTGTGCACGTCAATGGCTTGGGTATAGTTCCATGGCAATACAACCATCACAGTCTAGATATGTATTAAAGTTTCTTAGAAGCCGTTTTTCTCTCCCAACTATCACAACGCTACAAGTCCCAGCTTTGTCTGTCACCCCAGCAGCCAGCAGTCCCGTGCTGATGTTATCACATGCTTTATAACACTAGGTATGAGCTGTTGTCCAGAAGAACTTCTCAAGCACACTCAGGGCCATAGTCTGTCCTTTGTAACTACAGCAAGTCTCAAACAGCCTCTGCAAGGATTCAGAGACGTAAGGCGATACCACACGCTTTCAGAAATCAGGGACCATTTCAACCGATTTAGTAACTTCAGTGGGGTGGCATACAGCATTATCAGTGACACTGACTTTAGACCATAGTAAGAGAGCCCTCTGCTCTGTGTTCTACACCAACTATGTTAAACTGTATGTTAGACAGGATCTGCAGGACTGAGTTCTCGTACTCTCTTCTTTATACCATGACGCTTAGAGTAGTGAATCTGTACCCAACCAACTTCTTCTAGTCTGTTTGCTCACTTGAGTAGGGCTCTTCTCTGGGTGTTTTCCCTTTAGGTCCATAGAGTGTGACAAATTCCAGGTTAAATGGGTGCCTAAAGCTTGGATTTGTAGACTAAGGGTCCACAGTGATGCCCAAAGCCCTTTCAGTGCAGGTTAAAGGCCTGAGCAGGAGAAGGGATTGAAGGCTGAGAACTGGAGTTAGATCTTACTGCACTGCCACACCCGTCAACAAGTCTGAGAATTCTAAACTGGAGCCCAAACGTCTACATGTTTTATTTGTCAAGGTAGAATGATAAAACATTTTAGTCAACAATTTCCTGCGCTGATTTTGAAATTTTCAATATTTAGTTATGTGGAATATGGTTCTTCCTTGTATGATTTCATTTCTCCTAAATGTTCAGAATAGGCAAATTCACAGGGACAGAAAAGAGATAAGCGGCTGACAGAGGCTAAGAGGGAGCAAAATGTTGACTAACTGCTGTACCTTGTAGGTTCCTTCCTGGGGTGATGGAGAATTTAAGTCTGGTAAAGGATACACTGTTATGGATACACTAAAGTCTACTGAGGTGTGCTTTTAAAAGATGAGTTTTATAATTATCTGACTAGTTCAACTAAAGTATCTGTCATCTATATCACGACACAAAAAATATCTAAAAATAATTTTGTTGAGTTTTTTTTTTACTGAAAATCGAAACATTTCTGAAATTTGTATACAAAAGAATTTTAAGTGGTGTGCTGGTGAATCTGTGCATCTCTGAAGTGTATACATTTGCCTTTTGGTATGTAGCTCTGGATATCGATTGGTTTGCATATATCTAAAAGTGTGTACATAGGACAAAACTCATTCGCTCTTCAGCAGACTGCAGTTGTGAGAGGAGAAACTAAGGCTCGATCGAGATGACGATGCAAAGGAATCTAGAAGTCATACCGGCCTTCTAGACATTTATGGTATATGTGAGTCTCTCTCTGTAGGGCTGGTCAGGGTGGTATGCAAAGTAATTCAACTATGTAATCTCACTTCTCCTAAATTGTTAATAAGATTTTAGGCTTTAGAGGATCTGCTAATATTGAAAATTTGACTGGATGTCCTCTAAGGTCCCTTCTAGATCCAACATCCCATGACTCTGTTATTTAAAAATATTTTTGCAAACATATTAACACTGTGTTCTGGAGTAAATCCAGTCAACACGCATTTTTACAGTTTCTAATTTTTGTATGTAAGTGTATTGAAGGACCAGTCGGCCTCCATCTTAGACTTAAAACCAATTATTATTTATTTGTTTTAGTTTTTTGAGATGGGGTTTTTCTATAGCTTTGGAGACTATCCTGGAACTCGCTCTGTAGACCAGACTGGCCTCGAACTCACAGAGATCCTCCTGTCTCTGCTTCCCCAGTGCTGGTATTAAAGGTGTGCATCACCAAGCCTGGCTAAAAGCCATCTTATAATAAACTCAAATTAGGTTCATTCCTATTTATCATTAAACCTTTGTTTCTCAAAGATTGGGCTATTGCTGGGCGGTGGTGGTAGATCTCTGTGAGTTTGAGGCCAGTCAGGTCTACAAAACGAGTTCCAGGACAGCCAGTTCTGTTACACAGAGAAACCCTGTCTCAAAAAAAAAAAATGAAAATAAAAACAAACAAAAAATTAGACTATTAGACCATTCCCCACCTGTAACCTTAACTATGAATGGTTTTGTACTGTGTTTCAGGATTTGCAATCATGTCTATTTCAAAAAGTTGTTTATAATTGTCTTGCAACCCTACCTTTGTTTCAAAAGGCTATATGACCATCTTGTTATGACTATCTGTTATGCCCACCTTTCAACTGTGTTTCTTTCAGGAGGTCGTTATGGTTAACTCGTTATACTTATGTGCTGCTCCTGTAACCCCGCCTATTTTGCCCAACAAATTCCAAATTTGGAAACCCTACCCCTGCGCTCTATAAAAAACGTGTTTTCCTCACAACTAATGCTGACCTCTTGAAGCCCGCCTTAGGGGGAGTTAGCCCGTATATAAGAATAAATTTGCTTTAATTAATTTGGCTGCGATGGTTTGGGTCGTGGTCTTTCTCCTCCCATCTTTGGGATTAACAGTGTCTTTAGGAAATGTTTTGGTGCTGCTTTTGCCTCCAAACTACCCTTCGGTTCAGCGGGTACCAGCGGAAGACAAAGACAAAAAGCCAGACAGCCTGCAGCTATATAATTGAACCTAGACAAAACGGAAGTGGTTCTTAAAAATTATCTTCCCAAGAAACTTGCATATGAAATGTACTTCCTAATTGCAATAGTAATTCTAAGTCGCCTTTCCCTACATTACATTCCTAAGCAGAGACACAACCACATTTTCGTCCACAGCCAAAGAAAGATCTGCTCCCTTAAGAAGAATGTCTCTTCTAGCGGTGGAAACGCACGGAACCAAGAAGCTGCGAGCACTGGTTCTCGGGCGAGCTCTTGTCATCGAAGGACCAGCCTCCTGGCCGCGTTGCCGTGGAGACGGAGCTCGCTGTGTAGATGTGGCAACTGGCCGAGACACAGCCTTTGCTGACTATCTGCGGCAGGGGCTCACGGGACCGACGCCAAGATGGTTAGTAGCTTTGAATAGTAAGGGGGAACTTCAAATAGGTTTTTACCCGGGCTTAGAGCCCCCAGCACACTATTGGATAGAATTTAGGTGTGTCTCCAGGGGCCGATCCCTTTATCCCTGCAGTGTTTCCACGGGGAATAACGAGGGATGCAAAGAAAAATACCCCGATGCTGTCTTCCCTTCTGCTTCTCCATTTCCGACACCAGATCTGCTTGTGGACAGAGGGAAGACAGAGATGGTAGAAGCTGCGGGAAGTGTTCGTCTCTTATGGATAAGTAGATGGTTGTGGATAAGTAGTTAGAAGTAGTTATTTGGCTCCCCTTTAGTAGAAGGTGATGGCTCTTTTAATAAAATGCGTGTTTAAAAAGAATCTGAATAGACTTACTAGTGTTTGTTGCTAAGGATTTGACTTGTAAATCACAGCGCTCAGTTTAAAAATGACTTTTGAGTTGAACTGTCTTTGCTGCTTGTTTTACAGATGCTTTCAAGAGCCAAACCCGCTGTGGGCGGGGAATCACCGCACAGTGACAAAAGAAAGAAGAAAGGCAGGAAGATTCCAAAACTAGAAGATCTGCTTTCGCAAAGAGATTTCACTGGCGCTATTACTCTTTTGGAGGTAATGTCAAAGAAGGGTTAAGTCTGGTGAATGTTGGTTACTATGCTATTGGAATAGGCGGGTACATTCTGGGGAACCCAAGTAAATACAGCCAGACATGTATTCCAGACTCCGAGTTAACTACAAACCTGATAAAACAGAAAAACTTTTGGACTGGAAAGATGGCTTGAGAGTTAAGAGCATTGGCTGCTCTTCTAGAGGACCTTGATTCCCAGCACCCCCATGTCTGCTCACAACCATTAGTAACGCCAGGGGATCAGAGGTGTTTTGACCTCCTTCAGCACCAGGAATACATATGGGGCATAGAAAGAGATGAAGACAAAACACTCATACACTTAAAACTATTTTTCTCTAGTCCCACAGATGGTGAATCTAACCTAAAAATACAACATTACACATAATACAGTGTAAATTCACAGTTCTTTGCCTTAATTTCTGAGTGATTTATAACTTCTTCCTATAATAGTATTTCGCTTATAAAAATTAAATGATCATTGGGCCAGGTGGTGGTGGAACAAACCTTTAATCCCAGCACTCGGGAGGCAGACAGGGAGGCAGGATCTCTGTGAGTTCGAGGTCAGCCTGGTCTAGAGAGCGAGTTCCAGGGCATACTCCAAGGCTACTGAGAAATCCTGTTTCAAAAAACCAAAACAAAAACCCAAAACAAAACAAAATACAAAAAAAGAAAGAAAAAAGAAAGAAATTAAGCGGTTGTGCCGGTTTTATTTTAAAAATATTGTAAACTCATAAAGAATTTTAACCCTGCATATCAGTGTCATCTTTTTATCCTTTTCTGGAATCAATGCTGGGGATCCAATTTGGGGTCTCAAGTAAGTATTCTGCCACAGTTCTCCCCCCAGCCCAGCCCCAGCATGTAGACTTCACCTTTTAATATGCACTGGAGGTGCCAAGGAGAGTTACTTAGACTTTTGTAGACCTAGGCTCCTGCATTACCAGTGTGAATTCACTAGGTCTGCAGTTGTGCTCAGGAAGCTGCATTTTGGGTACATAGTCTAAGAAGTCCTTCCGACACAAACTGTCGTAGGAGACTGAAGTTGGAGAACCCACGTGTGGAAATTGCAGCAGCGAAGAGTGAAGGGTGCACCAAGGATAAAGTGTTCTGACAGCGTGGTCCGCTTGTGCTGCACTGGAGTCTATTGGACTGCATTTTCTACTGCTCCTTTGGTGTAACTCTATAGTTCCGCGTCTTTGAAACTGTCCATAGCAATTGCTCTGATTAGCTTGATGTATGTTTCTCAGTATTCCATACAAAAAAAATCCCATTTGTCTTACTAGTGCTTTGATATTGAGTCCAGTTGTTTGGCTTTCTTGCGTCAACTCTCATCTTTTGCAGTAGGACTTGGAAGGATCTAGCAGTGCAAGTCAGAGGACTGAATATCATATACATGTCCTTTTTTTTTTCTTCGAGACAGAGTTTCTCTGTGTAGTGCTGGCTGCCCTGGAACTCGATGTGTAGACCAGGCTGGCCTTGAACTCAGAGATCCTCATGTTGCTGCCTCCCAGATGCTAGAATTAAAGGCATGCACCCCCTACTCAGCTACATGTCTATTAATTTCTTAAGAATTTCTAAAATGATGTGTAGTTGTTTGTGTCGGTGTGTGCATACGTGTGCCTGAATGCAGCTCCCCACAGAGGCCAGAAGAACTGGATCCCCTGGAGCTAGAGTTACAGAAAGTTGTGAACTGTCTTATGAGGGTGCTGGGAACTGAACTTGGGTCCTCTAGGAGAGCAGCAAATGCGTAGTACACATAATTCAAAATAAAAATACCAGGGCTGACTAAAGATGAAAACAAAGCAAAACCAAAACAATACAAAACAAAAAAGCTTAGAGGAGGAGGAGGTTTTTCCGTTTATAATTCCAGGTGACAGCCCACACTGAGAGAAGGCAGGGCAGAAATTTGAAGTCATGCCTGCTTGCAATTCTATACAGTATTACCTCTGTCCAAGGAACTCAGTTTTCAACCAAAGAAGCACTGTATTTTTTTTTGCTGCTGTTGTTGTTATTGTTGTCATTATTGTTGTTTTGAGACAAAGTCTCTATGTAGACCAGGCTGGCCTTAAACAATAGAGCAGGCTGCTCTTTTTTTTAATATTTATTTATTTATTTTTTATATATACAATATTCTGTCTGTGTGTATGTCTGTAGGCCAGAAGAGGGCACCAGACCTCATTACAGATGGTTGTGAGCCACCATGTGGTTGCCGGGAATTGAACTCAGGACCTTTGGAAGAGCAGGCAATGCTCTTAACCACTGAGCCATCTCTCCAGCCCCCGAGCAGGCTGCTCTTAATCTCATAGAGTTCCACCTGCCTATGCCTCCTAAGTGCTGGAATTAAGGACATGTGCCACCATGCCCAGCTCCCTACATTGCTTTGCTCAGGGTCTTTATCACAGCAATGGAAATGATAGTAGGGCACGTGGTAATTGAGAACCCTTCTCAATTCTTTCCTCTGCAGTAAAACTCCTTTTTTGTTAGGTGAGAAATTCTTAAGTTTTTGTAGTGGACACAAAGAAGACTATCTCTGTACACCTTTAACTCTTCTAGTCTGTAAACTAGCCTGATCAAGCTAGTGGGATGTTTTCCATTAGGAGCTATTCTTTAATGCATGTGTGCTAATAGGATAAGATGGATGTGTAATATTGAATACAGTAGAACCCAGTGATGGGAGCCTGTGCTTTGGAGGCAGATGTGAATTTAAGTCCCCATTCCCACAGGGACAGAGGCTGACAGTGCTATCTGAGAACCATTGCTTGGCCTCTAACCTTCAGTTATTTGGCTTTAAATGTTTTTGTTTTTTTTTTTTGAGACAGGGTCTCTTTGGTAGCCCTGGCTTCCCTGGAACTCACTCTGTAGACTAGGCTGGCCTAAAACTCACAGAGATCCTCATGCTTCTGTCTCCCGAATGCTAGAATTAAAGGCATGCACCACCACTGCCCAGCTTGCTTTAAACGTTTTACATAATTCTCGAACATCATCCAGAATTATTACATAACTCACATACTTTCTGGAATAAGGTGCTAACAAACACAGAAAAACAAATCGAACATATCTGAAACAAAGGATTTCTGTGACAAGTAGGTGATAGCTGACTCCTGTCAGTGGAAGTGTCATTTACCTGCATATGGTTCAGCTTCTGTTGTTTACCATTTTACCTGTTTATCAGCCACTCAGTATACCTTTAAAAAATAAAAACAAGCCAGGTGGTGCTGGCACACGTCTTTAATCCCAGCACTCAGGAGGCAGAGGCAGGCGGATCTCTGTGGGTTTGAGGCCAACCTGGCCTAGAGAGTAAATTCCAGGACAGCTAGAGCTGCTACACAGAGAAACCCTGTCTCAAAAAGCCAAAACAAACAAATAAATAAGTAAGTAAAAGCCAAAGCATTTACTATTAAAATATTTTTTTCCTGATTTTTTTCCTATTTTATTGTGAAGTTCAAACGCCATGTCGGGGAGCAAGAAGACGACACTAACTTGTGGATTGGTTACTGTGCTTTTCACCTGGGTGACTACAAGAGAGCTTTGGAGGTCAGTGGAGACAAAGTCAAGTGGTGTCTAAGATGACATTATACGGTACATTCTCATAGTAACAGCAGAAGGAAATAATGCAGATGGAAACAGAGGAAAGAGAAAGAAATTGGCCTATCTGCTTTCCCCAGTCCTAGTCTTTTAATTAAAACCTCACTGACCCTTCCTAAGGTACGGATTGAGAGAGGGGTGGGGACGGTAACAGCACTCATGGGATATTGTTGTGGGAGTCTTTCTGGGATAAGCACTCTGACACCAGTGAGGAAACGTCCCGGGCGGACTGAAGCCAGAACACTTCTGAGAGGTCCAGTGTGCATTCTCGTTTCACACTCCAAAACTGTAAGGGTGCAGGTAAGTGAGCAAATTTCACAGATACTGCGATGGCTGTCAGTGGCTGTCAGCAGGTTGTTAGGGGCAACAACAGCCCATGATTTCAGTGTGTGGCAGATGGCTGCACAAGCCGTGCTTTAAGTAGATCACTACATAAATGAGATAAATAAGATCTTCTCTAACTTATTCTACTTCAGTATGAACGTTTAAGGGAAAACATCTGTGGGTGGGAGTGTTTAGAGGGTGTGCTGTGGGAAGTCAGAAGGTAGCTGGAAGAGGAGGTGGGGCTCAATCAAAAGGATCAATGAATGCGCTTTAGAGAAACCTGCTAATTTGTAACTTAATTTAAAAAGATAAGCTGGGGCGGGGGGGGGGGGCTGGAGAGATGGCTCGGTGGTTAAGAGCACTGACTGCTCTTCCAGAGGTCCTGAGTTCAATTCCCAGCAACCACATGGTGGCTCACAGCCATCTGTAATGAGATCTGGTGTCCTCTTCTGGCCAGCAAGCATATAGACAGACAGAACACTGTACATATAATAAATAAATAAATCTTTAAAAAAAAAAAAGATAACCGAGTGGTGGTGGTGCACAATTTTAATCCCAGCACTTGGGAGGCAGAGGCAGATCTCTGTGAGTTTGAAGCCAGCCTGGTCTAAAGAGCAAGTTCCAAGACAGCCAGGGCTTTTACACAGAAAAACCCTGTCTCTACACCCCCCCCGCAATTTTTTTAAACAATAAAGAGACAGATATTTATAGATATATAAACTAAAATGCTTGTATAAAACCCACAAAACAAAGAACATGTGTAGCATTCCAATATAATGTCTGAGTATTTAATATATTTGTTAGTATTATTTTTGTATAATGGAAGTTATTATTATGAAATAGTTTTAATTAAACTCCAAAAATAACTTTATAGAAAGGAGAAAGACTCTCCCTATATGATCTGGCATGTGAGTCTGTATCTTAATTGCCCTTCACTTTTACATGTGTGCTAGAGACCAGTATTAGCATGAGACTGGACTCAGGGCCCTCACATGCCAGGTGGGTGTTTTGCCATTGAGTAGTTCTTATTTCGTTAAATTTTTTTTTGATTTATTTACTTTATTTTGTGGGTGTGAGTATTTTGCTTGCATGCGTGTATGTGAACCAGGCGCATGCTTGGAACCTGCAGAGTCCAGAAGGGGACACTGGATCTCCTGGAACTAGAGTTACAGCTGACTTTAAACCATCTTGTGGGTTCTGGGAATCGAACCTGTGTCTTCTGCAAGAACAGCCAGTTCTCTTAGCCTTCTCTCCAGAAGCCCCATCTGTATGTCTTTTTAAGTTAGCAAAACTATTACAGTTGTTTTAATTTCTGAAGGGTTCTAAGACATATTAGCAGTGACATATTAGCATTTCTCTGTGAGAACCTCCTTCATTGTAGAAAGTGGACAGTTGCTCTGCTGTCAAGTGAGGCCGTCACCTGCTGTCTGTTTCAGGAATATGAAAACGCAACGAAGGAGGAAAACTGCAACCCAGAAGTGTGGGTAAACTTGGCCTGCACCTACTTTTTTCTTGGGATGTATAAACAAGCAGAAACTGCTGGGTTTAAAGGTAAAATGGGCTTTTTATATTCATTTTTGCCATAATATCTCTGTCCGTTGTTACATCTCCTACTCTTTCTATGATCAGGGTTTGCCATGTGCCTGTATTTATTTTTGGTTCTAAAGCGTGTGTCTTATAGATATGTCAATTTACAGCTGAAGCTTTGTTTTATTTTTAATTCCAATCTGACAATCTCTGTTGTTTTTTTTTTTTTCTGGGTGCTGGAGGCTTAGCCCAGACTGACCCAGTGCTTGTTGGCCAAATACTCTACCACAGAACTAAACTTCAACTCCAACACTAGATTGGAGAGCTATTCAGAACACCTCAAGTAGTGGATTTGATCAGTTCCGTCTTTAAAGAGAGTTAGTTACCTTATCCTCACCCTTTGTCCCTTGCCCCAACACGAGAGACAAGCAGATGAGAGAAGAACGGGAGCAAGGTGTCTTACAAGGCCCCACAGGTGGACTTGAGATGAGGGTGTGTTTAGGAGCCTCAGGTCAAGCTGCTGGACTGTGGGGTTTATTGCTCACAACGAGAAGCCGGAAAAGCTGGCCTAAAGACCCTCACCTGAAGAGTCCAGCAGGCTCCGCTTTGACCTTAGGAACCTGTCAGAGTAATCTAGAAGAATTGTATTCAGACTTGCAAGTAAGAGGGAGGGGCACAGAAGAAAAAAATAAGGATAATAAGAACACAAATCAAATGGAATATAAGGAAATATAGAGAAAGTGGGCAACATACTGTTAGGAAGGTGGCGGTGGTGTCACAAGCCTTTAATCCCAGCACTCAGGAGGCAGAGGCTGGTGGATCACTGTGAGTTCTAGGTCAGCCTGGTCTACAAGAGCTAGTTCCAGGACAGGAACCAAAGCTACAGAGAAACCCTGTCTCAAAAAATCAAAAAAAAAAAAAAAAGACTGGAATTTGGAAGGTTCCAGCCTTTTTTCTTGGTGACTGTTTAAGGGTGGCACTTATCTGTGGTTAGAAGGTCCCTGAAGTAGAGAGGACTGGTATCTAGGAAAACGTGACAGTATAATTCTGGAATTAGGAGAATGTGGGGAGTGTAATTCTAGGAAAGGAGATTTCAGGAGGAATTGAGAAAGCACACTGGGGTGAGCAGAAAACTGGGTGGCAGCATGTGTGCTCTGAGGGGACACGCAGTGTGTGTCAGTGTGTGCTCTGAGGTGACACGCAGTGTGAGTCAGTGTGTGCTCTGAGGGGACACGCAGTGTGTGGGGTCAGTGTGTGCTCTGAGGGGACACGCAGTGTGTGAGTCAGTGTGTGCTCTGAGGGGACACGCAGTGTGTGGGTCAGTGTGGGCTCTGAGGGGACACGCAGTGTGGGTCAGTGTGTGGGTCAGTGTGGGCTCTGAGGGGACACGCAGTGTGGGTCAGTGTGTGGACAGCGCAGAGGTGGGCTGCACCGTGTGGGTGTGTGAAGCCTTGTGCTGTGGGACACACAGCAGTATTGGGTAGAAATAGAGAACAGAACCTTAGGACAAGCCTCCTCTGGCTCTCTTGTGGGACTGCCCCTGCAGGTGGGCCAGACTGGTTATTCTAGCAAACACACACAGCTAGAGAAGGATTTGTCGAGGCCCACCTGAGCCTCATCTCATTCCGGCAAGGGACTAACTTTCATAGACTATTGATTTAGTTTTTATTTTTATGTGAGTGCTTTGCTTGAATGGGCTCTTGGTGGCCAGAAGAGAGCCCAAGATCTCCTGAAACAGGAGTCTGTAAACTTGTGAATGCTTGGAACTGAACCTGGATCCTCTGCAAGAGCAACAAGTGCTCTTAACCTCTGAGTCATCTTTTCTATTGCTGTGGGATAATGCTCTTGTATCCTGTAAAGATTCGTCACTAATATTGGTTTAATAAAACGTTGATTAGCCAGTAGCCAGGCAGCAAATATAGGCTGGGCTACCAGACTAGGAGAATTCTGGGAAGAGGAAAGGCTCAGTCTGCAGTTGTTACCCAGATGCAGAGGAAGCAAGATGAAAATGCTATACTATGCGGGACCACTGGCAGTGGCACCAGGATTTGTCCCTCCTGCCTGTGTTGGCATTTTGGAACCCATTCTCTTTGGATGGATACCTTGCGCAGCCTATATATAGTAGGTAGGGAGGGCCTTGGTCCTTCCTTAAAGCAATGTGCCTTACTCTCTCTGAGGAGTGGATGGGATGGGAGGAGGTGAGAGAGTGGGAACTGGGATTGGTATGTAAAATAAAAAAAGATAGTTTGTTTTCCTTTTTTAGAAAAAGAAAATGCTGCATTGAGAAAAAGTACCAAGCCATATGACTAAAAATGGATAAGAATTATGGGTTAATCTAAATTGTAAGAGCTATTTAATAATAAGCCTGAGCTAATAAACCTAACAGTTTATAATTAATATAAGCCTCTGTATGTTTCTTTGGGACTGAACAGTTGCGGGACTAGGTGGGACAGAAACTTGTCTACAAACTATGGGATTCTTTACCAAGCAACATGCCTTTTTTTTTTTTTTTTCTTTTTCAGCTCCAAAAAGCCGGCTCCAAAACCGCCTGTTGTTCCATCTGGCTCACAAGGTATTCAAATTCTCACTTCACACCACTTGCTTTAAAATCATTTTCCCTTTTCTTCCTTTGCCAACAGTGATGGAAAATATTTAATAGACATTTCTGTTAATGTTACTAAATTGTCTTACAGAAAGTTAATCAAGTCATTGACAAGTAGCATAAAAATATATTCAGTTCATTTAAAAATTTCACAATATAATTTTTGTTATTATCTTACAGTGTTAAGAATTAAACTCAGGGTTGGAATGTGGTGGTGCACACCTTTAACCCCAGGACTTAGGAGGCAGAGACAGGCAGATCTCTCTAAGTGTGAAGCCAGCCTGGTCTACAGAGTGAGTTCTAGGATGTTCAGGGCTATTATACAGAGAAACCCTGTCTCAAAAAATTAACAACAACAATGAAAAGAATTAAACCCAGGGTCTTGTGCATGTTAGGTAAATGCTCTGCCACTGAGCTATATCCAGTGCCCTTGGCTTTTTGAGACCAAGTCTTGCAATGTTGTACAAGCTGAACTGAAACTTGCTGCAAAGCTAAAGATGACCTCAAACACATAGGCCTCCTGCCTTAGCCTCCCAGTGCTGGGGTTAAAGACATGCACCACCACACCCAGGTCCAGAGCTGTGTCTGACTGCTTGTTTCCATTTGTCCCAAATGACCAGAATTCTGTCTTCTCGCCTTTCTTGTATTCGTCTTGTATTGATTTTTAAAAATTCCATATTTGTCCTCTGTTAGCGTGCTACTCTGCATATTTTATAGTACCTTAGCAGTTCCTATAGCAGATGCCATTTACATTATTGAAGTTCTTTTGGTTGTTGAGGGTTTTCTTTTGTTTTTGTTTGTTTGTGTTTTTCAATACAAGGTTTCTCTGTGTAGCCCTGGAACTCATTTTGTAGATCAGGTTGGCCTCAAACTCTAGATCCCCCTGTCTCTGCTTCCTGAGTGCTGGGATTAAAGGTATGCGCCACCACCACCCAGCCCATATTATTTTTTGAGGAAATTTCTATTTTTTTTCTTTTTCTTTTCTTTTCTTTTCTTTCTTTCTTTTTTTTTTTTTTTTTTTTTTTTTTTTGAGACAGGATTTCTCTGTATCTTTGGAGCCTGTCTTGAAACTAGCTCTTGTTGCCCAGGCTGACCTCGAACTCACCGACATCTGCCTACCTCTGCCTCCTGAGTGCTGGGATTAAAGGCGTGCTCCACCACCATTTTGGAGAGAAAATTTCTTATTAATCTTCCTGTAGCCATATCTACTCATTTATTAAATCCATCTATTTAGATCTTTTTTTTTTTTAAAGATTTATTTATTATATACACAGTGTTCAGCCTCCATGCCTGAAGGCCAGAAGAGGGCGCCAGATCTCGTTACAGATGGTTGAGAGCCACCATGTGGTTGCTGGGAATTGAACTCAGGACCTCCGGAAGAGCAGTCAGTGCTCTTAACCACTGAGCCATCTCTCCAGCCCCTATTTAGATCTTTTTTTATTGATACTTATTAATACATTTCTCTCTGCTCCCCTTCCTGCCTCTCCCCTCCCCCCTTCAACCCTCCCCCAAGGTCCCCATGTTCCCAATTTACTCAGGAGATCTTGTCTTTTTCTACTTTCTACTTCCCATGTAGATTAGATCTATGTAAGTCTCTCTTAGTGTCCTCATTGTTGTCTAAGCTCTCTGGGATTGTGGTTTGTAGGCTGGCTTTCTTTGATTTATGTTCAAAAACCACCTATGAGTGAGTACATGTGATAATTGTCTTTCTGTGTCTGGGTTACCTCACTCAAAATAATGTTTTCTAGCTCCATCCATTTTCCTGCAAAATTCAAGCTGTCTTTATTTTTTTCTTCTGTGTAGCATTCCATTGGGTAATTGTACCACATTTTTCTTATCCATTCTTTGATCAAGGGGCATTTAGGTTGTTTCCAGGTTCTAGCTATGGCAAACAAAGCTGCTATGAACATAGTTGAGCACATGTCCTTATGGCACAATTGAGCATCCTTTGGATATATACCCAAAAGGGGTATTGCTGGGTTTTGAGGAAGATTGTTTCCTAATTTTCTGAGAAATCACCACACTGACATCCAAGGGGGTTGTACCACCTTGCATTCCCACCAGCAATACAGGAGTGTTCCCTTTTCCGCACAACCTCTCCAGCATAAGTTGTCATCAGTGTTTTTGATCTTGGACATTCTTACAGGTGTTAGATGGAATCTCAGAGTTGTTTTGATTTGCATTTCTCTGATGACTAAGGATGTTGAACATTTCCTTAAGTGTCTTTCAGCCATTTTAGATTCCTCTGTTGAAAGTTCTCTGTTTAGGTCTGTATTCCATTTTTTTTTATTGGATTATGTGTTCTTTTGGTGTCCAATTTCTTGAGTTCTTTGTATATTTTAGAGATCAGCCCTCTGTCTGATGTGGGGTTAGTGAAGATTTTTCCCATTCTGGAGGCTGTCGTTTTGTCTTATTGACCATGTCCTTTGCTTTACAGAAGCTTTTCAGTTTCAGGGGGTCCCATTTATTAATTGTTTCTCTCAGTGTCTGTGCTGCTGGGCTTATATTTAGGAAGTGGTTTTCTGTGCCAATGCGTTCAAGTGTACTTCCCCCTTTCTCTTCTATAAGTTTCAGTGTGGCTGGCTTTATGTTGAGGTCTTTGATCCATTTGGACTTGAGTTTTGTGCATGGTGATAGATATGGGTCTATTTTCATTCTTCTACATGTTGATATCCAGTTATGCCAGCACCACGTGTTAAATGTTCTTTATCTTTTCCATTTGATATATTTTGCTTTTTTATCAAAGATCAGGTGTTCAAAGATGTGTGGATTGACATCTGGGTCTTCTATTTTGTTCCATTGGTCCTCCTGTCTGTTCTTATGCCATTACCAAGCTGTTTTCAGTACTGTAGCTCTGTAGTAGAGTTTGAAATCAGGGATTGTGATGCCTCTTTTATTGTACAGGATTGTTTTGGCTATTCTGGGTTATTGTTCTTTCGAGGTCTTTGAAGAATTTTGCTGGGTTTGATGGGCATTGTGTTGAATATGTAGATTGCTTTTGGTAAGATTGCCATTTTTACTATGTTAATTCTGCCTACCCAAGAGCATGGGAGATCTTTCCACTTTTTGGTGTCTTCTTCAATTTCTTTCTTCAAAGATTTAAAATTCTTGTCATACAAGTCTTCCACTTGTTTGGTTAGAGTTACTCCGAGATATTTTATGCTATTTGTGGTTATTGTGAAGGGTGTTGATTCTCTGATTTCTTCCCCAGCTTTTGTAAATGGAGTGGTGGCCCGCTTCCCGCTGCCCGGTTTCCGGCTAGCTTTACCTGAAGTAATTACATGGAAACTGTATTCATTTTAACACTGCCTGGCCCATTATATTTAGCCTCTTCTTAGCTAACTCTTACATCTTAATTAACCCATTTTTAATAATCTGTATATCACCACGTGACTGTGGCTTACCAGGATGAGTCTAACCTACATCCATCTCGGAGAGGAGAGCCATGGCGTCTGCCACACTGCCTTCTTTCTCCCAGCATTCTGTTCGGTCTATTCCACCTATCTAAATTCTGCCCTATCAGTTTCTTTATTTAACCAATGAAAGTAACACATAGACAAAAGACCCTCCTACATCACCCAGCCCTTTTATCATCTGTGTACAGGAGGGCTTCTGATTTTTTTGAGTTAATCTTGTATCCTGCTACATTGCTGAAGGTGTCTATGAGTTGTAGAAGTTCCTTGGTAGAATTTTTGGGATCACTTATATAAACTACCATATCATCAGCAAACATCTACTTATCTTAATTTTGGTTGTGATATAGCATTTATCTGGCATGCATGAAGCCTAGACTTTGTTCTCCAGTATCACATAAGCACCTGTCTACAAATGTACATACATACAACACATACCTGTAGTATATCTGTGATCAAAATTCAAATCCATTTCAGAATTTATTTATTTACATTTTTTGCTTTTTTTTTTAGACATGGTTTCTGTGTAGCACTGGCTGCCCTGGAATTTGATCTTTAGACCAGGTTGGCCTTGAACTCACAGAGATCCACCTGCCTCTGCCTCCCGAGTGCTGAGATTAAAAGTGTGTGATATCACTGCCTGGCCAGAATGTAATCTCTTTTAGAGACAAAGTTGGGTTTATTAACTGCAGAAACAAAGGGAGAGAGTGAGAAAACATAAGCATAAAATGCACTTCCTATAGGACATGTGCGGGCTTCTCAAGGGAGAGACTTAGAGTGATGTCATGGTGTGTCTAAAGTTTGATAAGAAATCTTTCTCTTCCTTTGACATTATGACCAAGGAAACTTAGAAAAGACAGTATTTTTGTCGGGGGGTTTCTGCAATGTCACAAGGTTAGTTTGTGATCATCATGGTGAAGGCAGGCAGGCATGGCACTGCAGTGTATCTGAGAGCTTTACATCCTGATCAGAGACAGCAGACAGGCAGGCAAAGACCTGGCTTCGGGCTTGTGAAACCTCGAAACTCACCCCTAGGGACACACTCACTCAAAGTCACACCCACTGCAACAAGGCCACACCTCCTTATCCATCCCAAACAGTTTCACCAAGCAGGGGACCAAGCATTCAGACTTGAGCCTGTGGGGACCACTCTCATTCAGACCACCACACCCACTGAGGGCAGTTCTCTTTAGTCCTTGGTTTTTGAGACAGATCCTTTAAAGGAAAGAGTTAAGGAAGCAGGAGAGATGGTAGAGCTGTTAAGAACACTGGTTGCAGAGGGCCTGTGTTTAGTTCCCAGAACCCATGTGGCAGCTCACAGTTACAGTTCTCTAGTTCCAGAGGATCCAGCGTCCTCTTTTGTCCTCCATGGCACTGAGTGCACATACATATATTCTGGGGATCACCTATACATTTAAAAATAAGATAAATAAATCTTTTTAAAAAATAAAAAGTTTTGGGAGCTGGAAAGATGGCTCAGTGGTTAAGAGCATTGCCTGCTCTTCCAAAGGTCCTGAGTTCAATTCCCGGCAACCACATGGTGGCTCACAACCATCTGTAATGAGGTCTGGTGTCCTCTTCTGGCCTGCAGACATACACACAGACAGAATATTGTATGCATAATAAATAAATATTTTTTTTAAAAAAGTTTTGAATCATCAGGAAGGAGTGAAGAATAGTTTGTATCAAGAGTTACTTACAAAATATATCAGTTTGATCCTATGTATAAACAAAGGCAATTGTTATTTATAGCTACCTTTTAATAAAATAAGCATAAAAATTAAATTCTGATAGCCTGAAACAACAACCACATGTAGTAACTGAAGAGACGATAAAAACAGAAAACTAAATATTGTACTCATGAAGTTACATGATGACAAATACATTTTAATTACATACTTCACCAAAGAAAAAGAAATACAACTGGGCAGTGGTGGTGCACGCCTTTAATCCCCGCACGTAGGAGGCAGAGGCAGGCAGATCTATGTGAGTTCGAGGCCAGCCTGATCTACAAGAGCTTTTCAGGGACAGGCTCCAAAGCTACAGGGAAACCCTGTCTTGAAAAACCAAAGAATGGGAAAGAATTGTTAAGTGGTGAGGGCAAAGAAATATAAGGCATAAATATAAAGCGAAAAAATGAGTAGGGTGTTAATATCAAGCAATAAATTATAACTGTAATTTAGGACCTTTCACTGCCAAGACTTCATCTCCAGTGATGATGCACATCCCTTCCCTACAACAGGACCAAAGAGACAGGAGATAGAAGGAGGAAGTGGAGACACAGAGGCCAGAGAGGACTTGAGGCCTCTGTCACTGAGATCCTCTCTCATATGAGTGTGACTCTGTGCATGTCTTTTCTCACCATTGTAGTTTAATGATGAGAAGAAATTGATGAACTTTCATCAGAATCTTCAGGATATTAAAGAAGACCAGCTTAGTTTGGCCTCAATCCACTATATGCGATCCCATTACCAAGAAGCTATTGATATATACAAGCGGATACTGCTGGATAACAGGTCTGTGCTCTTTCCCGCCCTCATTGAAATCTCTGCCGTTTTATTAGTTTCTTTTGTGTTTAATTTGGTTAAGAACCTAGTGTCCTCTGGACCTAGTACCTCCACATATTCAAGGCTCTTTTGTTGCTAATCTGACGAGGTTAAAAACTCCTTGGATATTGTTAATATCAGACTGTCTCCACCCTTTTTCTTTTGTTGCTTTCATTTTTAATTTTACTATTTTATGTGTATTATGTTTCACCTGCAAGTATGTACACCAAATGTGTGTCTGGTATCTGCGGAGGCGTTACATGCGACTGTGTGCTACCATGTGGGTGCTGAGAACTGAATCTGGGTGCTCTGGGAGAGGAGCCCGTTTTCTTGACCATTGGGCCTTCTCTCCAGCCCCTTGTTTTTTTGAGACAGGTTCTCACTTTGTAGCTGTCCTGGACCGCGTGTGTAGGCCAGGTTGGCCTGAGTTTACAGAGAGCCACCTGCTTTTTCCTTCCAAGTACTAGGATTAAAGGCAGGTGCCTTTTTCAATACCATTTCTTCTTTGTAATGAGCCTATTTTGAAATTTTTCCCTCCCAATTTTCCAGAGAATTTATATACTGACATATTTACTGATAACTTTGTGTGTGTTTATATAAAATGAGTGTGGTTTTATATAAATTGAGTGTTTTTTCACCCTCTCATAAGAATCATTTTCTACCCATTGGAAATGAAATGCCGTTTTTGAAAAATTATGGCCTTGGAGGAAGAAAAATTATAACAAATATAAGGATTCATATATATGTCAATGACATAATGAAATCTGTTACTTTGTATGCTATATTTAAAAATTATGATAATTTATAAAATAGTAACAAAAGAATACATTATTTAAGGCTGGACATGACAGCATACTACTGTAATCGTATTAGACTACTAGCATGCTCGGCAAGATTGCCTACTGGGGCAATAGTGGTTTAAATGTTAGGGGGCAACCGCCTGCTTTCTGATTGGATTTGAAGCCTGTTCCTTAGGGAGAATTCATTTAAAGTACTATAAAACTGGCTAAAAGCCCATTACTAAGGGCTGGAAAGATAGCTCAGCAGTTATGATAACTGGCTGCTCTTCTAGAGGTCCTGAGTTCAACTCCCAACACCCACATGGTAGTTTAAAGCCGTGTGATGAGATCTGGTGCTTTCTTCTGGCCTGCAGTCATACATGCAGGCAGAACCCTAAATATATAATAAATAAATAAATACATCTTAAAATAAAAACCCATTACTATAAAAGTCATTGGCCAAGCCGGGCGGTGGTGGCGCACGCCTTTAATTCCAGCACTTGGGAGGCAGAGGCAGGCGGATCTCTGTGAGTTCGAGACCAGCCTGGTCTACAAGAGCTAGATCCAGGACAGGCTCCAAAACCACAGAGAAACCCTGTCTCGAAAAACCAAGAAAAAAAAAAAGTCATTGGCCCTAGTAGAGAAGCTACTGCTATTTTTTTTATATTTATTTATTTATTTATTTATTTATTTATTATGTATGCAATATTCTGTCTGTGTGTATGCCTGCAGGCCAAAAGAAGGCACCAGACCCCGTTACAGATGGTTGTGAGCCACCGTGTGGTTGCTGGGAACTGAACTCAGGACCTTTGGAAGAGCAGGCAATGCTCTTAACCTCTGAGCCATCTCTCCAGCCCCCTACTGCTGTTTTTCTAAAGGGACATGATACACCTCTTAAATTGCATTTTGAATGTTTATGTTTATACCCATAGATTAAGTGCTACTGTCAGCTTGGCCAAAAAACTCCTTTTAGTGAGTGGCATTAACTATAGATACTCATAGCAAGTCAAAAAGGTTTTCTCTAAGTGAAACATCTTTATCACTCCCTCAAAGGCTCAGAGAGCATTAAGGAAGAGAGAGTGGAAAGAATATAAGAGGAAAGGGTGATAGTTGAAGAACACACTGGCTTATGGGCATTCTTGAATACGCAGCACCATGATTCTTTGCACAAGATTGGGCCTTTATCATTCCAAGGTGGAAGAGGGGGTGCTCACAAAACCCTGTCCTTCTCTGAGGACTTATAGACAGTTAATGGTTGCTGGGGAAGAGAGGCTTATGAGATTTCACCTGAGGAGACAGAAGCAGTTAATAGTGCTTCCAGAAGAGGGGGACATTTTCTACAGTAGTTATGTGTAGGCAGAAGTTTCTGTCCCACCAGCAGCTTCCAAATGAACACACTTAGGCCTACATTAATTATAAATGCTTGGCCAATAGCTCAGGCTTGTTACTAGTTAACTCTTACATTTAAATTAACCCATATTTCTTACCTACGCTTTGCTATGAGGTTTGGTACCTTTTCTCAGTACGGCATACCCATCTTGCTTCTTTCTGTCTCCGCTGGTGACTTCCAGACTCCATCCTTCTTCCTCCCAGCATTCTCAGTTTAGCTCTCCCACCTAACCTTATCCTGTTCAGCTATTAGCCAGTCAGCTTCTTTATTAAACCAGTCTCAGCAACATATATTTGCTCAGTGTAAAGGAATATTCTACAGCTATGTACACGCTGGAAGGCATGCTCCTATAAATAACCCCTTACCCTTGCCTCTATAAGTAACCCTAATTAAATTCATTGGCTCACACGCACATATGAAGACATATAAAAGGGAGACTGGTAGAAAAGAGGAAGGGATGAGTGGGAGTGGGAAGGGCATAAGAGAGTATAAAGGGGGGGTGAATAGCTCAAAATACATTATATGTATATTTGAAAATGACACAAGCCAGTTAGCATGTATAATACATGCTAATAAAAACTTTTATAAAAGAGAAATATATCAAATGTAGTTGAAAGACACTCACATATTATAATGCAAAAAGAAAAAATATACTGATTATATCTTCCTTTCTTCCTTCCAATGCAGATCCTTGCTTTTGCCTTGTTGTTCATTTGAGCTTTGCAGTTAGACATTTAATATAATAGTTGGATTCTACTTTTCCTTAAATGTTATTAGAATCGGTGTGATGGGTTTTCTATCTATAAAACTATCTGATTCAAACTGAATGTATATACTTAGTGTATGAATGTTAAACAACAAACTTCTTTTAACATACTTATTTGTTTTCCTTCCTAAAAATTATAAAGCTTTATGAAGTAGATTTCCTGAAGTATTTATATAATAAATATTTAGTCCCTCCATGAGAATTGTGTCCCTGTATCTTTCCTAATCAGATGTGTTGTTGGATATGCAGTTTCTTTTGTTTTGTAAGCATGTTGCATCTTCTGTCCCTTCCATTCCTACCTTATTATTATCATGTGACTTCTGCATGTAGAAGATGTACCCAGTTGTTATATGAACTTTAATTGATAAAGTGATGGTTAGTTAGTAGTCTAGATCAAAATTGGAAAAGAGTCAAATGAATTTGTTATTAATAAAGAAAGATATTTGGAAACCATGATTGTTGTATCAGGAATCAGCATCTGTGAAATATACTTCAGCTTGAATCTTTCTGCTAACAGGGAGTACCTGGCCCTCAATGTTTACGTGGCCCTCTGCTACTACAAATTGGATTACTATGATGTCTCCCAAGAAGTCCTGGCTGTTTACCTTCAGCAAATTCCTGATAGTACCATCGCACTCAACCTTAAGGCTTGCAATCACTTTCGCCTTTACAATGGAAAAGCAGCTGAGGTAGGCATGTAGATGTGTGTTTCTAATTAGCTCAGTTCTAATGGGAATTAGTTTATAACAGTTCCCAGGTTAGCCCATAAATTCTAGGATTTATAGCTCTGTAGCAATGCTCCTTGGTCATTGCCAGTGTGATTCTATAACCAAATAAGAGTATAAACATTTTTTTTTTTTTTGGATTTTCGAGACAGTGTTTCTCCATAGCTTTTGGTTCCTGTCCTGGAACTAGCTCTTGTAGTCCAGGCTGGCCTTGAACTCACAAAGATCCACGCCTGCCTCTGCCTCCCAAGTGCTGGGATTAAAGGCGTTCGCCACCACCGCCCGGCTAAACATTTTTTTGAGACAGGGTCTCACTATGTAGTTCTGGTTGGCCTCTAACTCCTTATGTAGACCATGTTGGCCTTAACCACACAGAGATCTGCCTTCCTTTGCCTCTGTGAGTTCCAATTCAGTCTGATCAATATGGAGAGTTCCAGGCCAGCCTGGCCTACATGGACCTCTGTTAACAGAACCTACAGGAGAAAAGAAGACAGTTACCAAGAAGCTGTGTTTGACTCTGTTCTTGTCTGTCTAGATCTTTTATTTTTTTAAAGCTTTCTCAGGCTTTATGTGGAAATTCTTGCCAAATATTTGGGTGCCATTTGTAGATGGATGTTTCTGTCCTGTCCAGTCCTGCATCTGTTCAGTCCCAAAGAAACACACAGAGGCTTATATTAATTATAAAATATTTAGACTATTAGCTCAGATTTATTATTAACTAGCTCTTAAAACTTAAATTAATCTATAATTCTTGCCTATGTTTAGCCATATGGCTTGGTACCACTTCTCAGTGAGGCATTCTCATCTTGCTTCCTCTGTATCTGGCTGGTGACTACATCTCTGCCTTTCCTCTTCCCAGAATTCTCCTAGTCTGGTCACCCTTCCTATACGTCCTGCCTGACTACTGGCCAGTCAGCATTTTATTAAACCAATATGAGTGACAAATCTTTACAAGGTAAAGAGCATTATCTCACAGCAGATAAGTGCATTAAAATGTACTTGATATTGGAAGTGTAAAATCCAATGTGACGCTCTATGGATTCAGAACTGCTATTCAAACTGTATAGAAGTTCATTGTGATGTATAGACTTTGAGTCTGGTTAATTCTGGTATATGAATTTTTGCAAGTTTTTAATAATAGAGATAATAAAATTAGAAAAAAGAATATAGGAAAAATGGTAAGACTGAAAAAAATCAAAGGCTTAACTTCTAAGTCTTTGACACTGAAAATAAAGATTAACCCTAGGAGTCTTAAAACTAACCTACACAACTTTTAAATGTCTTACTGAGTATGAGGCTCGAGACACTTAACTTTAGAATGCCATGTAGTTCAGGGTAGCCTTAAATTTGCTATGTAGGCAAGGATGACCTTGAACTTCTGATCTGCTTCTATTTCTAGAGTCTTGAGATTACAGATATGTACCAACACTTCCAGTTATGAGGTGCTCAGGATCAAACTCGGGGCTTCTTGCATGCTAGGCAAACATGCTACAGAGCTACAACCCCAGCCTCCAAAACACTTAACTTTTATTAATGAGTCAATGATGTCAGCCGGGCGGTGGTGGCGCATGGCTTTAATCTCAGCACTCAGAAGGCAGAGGCAGACAGGTCTCTGTGAGTTCGAGGCCAGCCTGGGCTACAAGAGCTAGTTCTAGGACAGGCTTCAAAGCTACAGAGAAACCTTGCCTCGAAGAACCAAAGCCAAACAAACAAATAAATAAATAAATGATGTCATCTGTAAAATGTGGATAATAATAATTATATTGACTGAGAGTCCCAAGGATCAAGTGAAATAGCATGTTATACTCTTTGTAAACTATAAAGCATTATATAGATAGGTGACATAAGAACTATATACTCTTGGGGCTGGAGAGATTGATCAATGATTGAAAACATATACTGCTCTTGCAGAGGCCCTGAGTTTAGTTCCCAAAGCCCATGTTGGATGATTCACAACCACCTATAACTCCAGCTCCAGAGGTATCTGATACCTCTGGCCTTAGGGAGTACCCATACTCACATGCACACATCCACACAGAGATGCACACACATATACATAATTTAAGAGAATAATAAGCTAGGTGTGGTGGTGCACGTCTTTAATCCCAGCATCAGGAGGCAGAGGCAGGCGGATCTCTGTAAATTCAAGTTCAGCCTGGTATACATAGCAAGTTCCAGGACAGTCAGGACTGCATAGAGAGAACAAAAAAAAAATCAAAAATAAATAAATATAATAACAAAGTAAATCTTAAAAAATAAGAACTATATGCTTATTATTTGATACGTCTTTCCTTTTTATATTTCAGGCAGAACTCAAAAGCTTGATGGACAATGCCTCTTCACCCTTTGAATTTGCAAAAGAACTCATCAGGCACAATCTGGTGAGTAAGGTTCCCATCTTGATTGACTTGAGTCCTGTTTTTTTTTGGTACATCACAGCAATTAAAGATGAATAAAAGGAGATTCCAGCCGGGTGGTGGTGGCACACGCCTTTAATCCCAGCACTCAGGAGACGGAGGCAGACAGATCTCTGTGAGTTTGAAGCCAGCCTGGGCTACAAGAGCTAGTTCCAGGACAGGCTCCAAAGCTACAGAGAAACCCTGTCTCGAAAAACAACAACAACAACAACAACAACAAAAAAAACCCAAAACAAAAAAAAAAGAGGAGATTCCCCAGCAAATATTGCGCTACTCCAAAGAATGTCTCATCATTGTGAAAAGGGATGAAATGAATTTCTAACACCAGTCTCTTTCCTTGGGGAACCTCTTATTAGGAGGGCAGAATGTTTGGAAAGAAGAGGAAGGCAAGGCAGACCCAAGTGTCCCTTGTCCTTGGGGGACCAGAGGAACATATCCTCATGTATTAGAATAATGGGGACAATTGTTTAATCCTTGAAGACTGGCTGAGTTTTCGAGGCTTCATTCTAATCTAGATAGGGTATGAATCTAGAGCAAGTGTGACGTGACAGGGATGATTGTACCTGTAGTCTAGAGGGAGTGGAGGGTAAAGCTGGGTGAGCAATGGTATAGGGCTAGATCATGATGACCATTGCTTAAAATAAATCTAAGCTCAGATGAAGTTGTATTCTACCAGTCATGCAACATAATGAGATGCAGACTGTGTGCTCCCAAGCCACGTACCTGGAGCACTAAGCAAATGATTTTGTATGATGAGTCAGCCTCCTCATCTGATGAGAACAAAAACTACAGCTTCTTTAGTGGCTTTGTTTCCTCTTCCTCCTCCTTTTCCTATTGAGACAAGATCTCACTACATAGCCCTTGCTGACCTGGAACTCTGTATAGAACAAGCTGGACTGGAACTCTGTATAATCAGGTTGACCTGGAACTCCCCATATACAGGCTGGCCTTGGAACTCTGCTTAGACCAGGCTGGCCTGGAACTCTCCATAGACCAGGCTGGCCTGGAACTTGCCATAGACCAGGCAGGCCTGGACCTCACCATAGACCAAGCTGGCCTGGAACTCATAGAGAGCCATCTGTTTTTGCCTCTCCACTGCTGACATTAAAGACATATGTCACTGTACTCAGCCAAGCCTATTCTTTGAGGCCATGTGTAGACTTTTACACTCATGGCATCAACAGCAGCACTCAAAATTCCAGGTCTTAGGGGTGTTCAGTGTGTAGTGACCCCAGCCTGCCTGCTGAGCCGTCTTGTTTTTAACTTTTCTGTGTAACCCCACCATCTGATGGAATACTGCCAGTGGTGGTGTGGTTTTTACCACCCTCTTAAAGCCTGCATTGTCAAACCACAGAGAAGCATGGATCAACACCAAAAAGTCCTTTAGTTGAAGGTGTACATTTGTGACTCTCGAGAGTAACTTCACTAGGGTGCTGGGAACAAAACACAAATTTGGGGGAGGCTGAGGAGTGACAGGGTAAGAGGAAATTAGCAGTTAACCACAGCTTTTGAAGTTTACCATTGAAAGAAAAAAATAGGGCATTCTCTAGAGGGAACAAAGGAACCAAGTAGAGATTTGACAAGAGAACAAAAACCCTTGTGTGTGTGCTTCAAGCTGAGAAGTGGGGCTGCTACTTTGGGAAGACTGAAGATACAGTGGTTAATGGAGAACCGGAGTCAGATGGAGTTTGAAGCGATAAGATCAAGGGAGCAGATGAAGTCCCCTTGTTAAAGGAAGGGACAGAAAAAGGAACCAGAAAAAATGATCAACATGACTATTCTGAGGGTAAATTTATGTAGTCCATGCCTGATAACCCTAGTTTCAGTGTATTTGTAGACAGTTTACCACGTTCTGAACATTTGCTAGGCTGTGTGGACAAATTGTTTTAAGTGTTTTATTCCATTTCTGTGTGTATGTATGGGTATGTGTTTTCATGGTGCATGTGTGAGCTTGTGGTGGTCAGAGAAAAACTGCTGGAGTTAAGAATGTAGCTACTGGCCAGGCAGTGGTGGCGCACGCCTTTCATCCCAGCACTCAGGAAGTCTACAGAGTGAGTTCCAGGACAGACAGAGATAACACAGAGAAACCCTGTCTCAAAAAAACCAAAAAAGAAAAAAGAACGTGAGTCCTGGAGATTGAACTCAAGTTGTCTGTCTTCTCATCATTTTCTTATCAATTTTTTAACCATATTTATTAACTGATTTATTGTGTGTGCATGTGTACACAGTAAGCATGTGCACCGTGGCATGCATGTGGTAGTCAGAGGACTATTGTGGGCATTAGTTCCTTCCTTCTGTCACCACCCCAGGCTCCTTAGCATTTCCAGTTGTGACCGTGTGCTCCTGTGCTGCTACAGTACACTGTCTCTATGGTGGCCCTGTGCGCCTGTGCTGTTACAGTACACTGTCTCTATGGTGACCGTGTGCTCTTGTGCTGCTACAGTACACTGTCTCTACGGTGGCTGTGTGCACCTGTGCTGCTACAGAACACTCTCTCTATGCAGGTTGTTTTCCGAGGAGGCGAGGGGGCTTTGCAGGTTTTACCTCCCCTGGTTGACGTCATTCCTGAAGCTAGGCTAAACCTAGTGATTTACTACCTTCGCCAAGGTAAGGAAAACTTGTCGTGTTCTGACTTAGGAAGAAAAATATTTTTGAATATTCAATCTGATTGAAACAGTTGTATACATTCTACACACACTTCCAAATACGTATTCGCAACAGTGTTGTGAACAGATTTCATGGCACTCATGAGTTGTGCCTCTTCTCCTGTCACTGCCTCTTCTTCCTCACCCTGCTCTTCTCTTTACTCTTCTGTCCTCTATCAAGTTCCTGTTGGGTCTTCAATGTTTTTCTCCCTCTTATTTTAATTTTTCTTGTTTGCGTTTTATGAAAATGTACATTCACATTTTCTTGTGTTTTTTGTTTGCTTTAAAACTCTCAGCTTTTGGGGGCTGGAGAGATGGCTCAGTGGTTAAGAACACTGACTGCTCTTCCAGAGGACCTGGGTTCAATTCCCAGCACCCATGTGGCAGCTCACAACTGTCTACGATCCAGTTGCAGGGGATCTGACACCTTCATACCAATGCACATAAAAATAATGTTAAATATACCATAAAAATATTTTTTAAAAAAAGTTAAAAAAAAAAAACCTCTCAGCTTTTATATTTCCTCATGGTGGCTGCATCTCTTCTCTGGAGTGCAGGAATCCAGTGAAAGGTGCCTGGTTCCTGGAGCAGCTCTTCCAGAGCTTAGCAGAGAAGGGCTCTTGGCCACGGGCCTTAAACCAGCAGTGCGGCCTTTTCAGTTCATGGTAGAGGCAAACCAGGCAACTTATGCCTCCTTACTGAGAAAAACGTGTATTTTGTGAGAACATGTATTACAAACAGTCCCCTTTATATGACAGATAAGCAAAAAGAAATTTGGTTATAGATATGAATTAATGAAAAAGTGAATACATTTTCTAATTATTTTGTGAAAAATTTCTAGTGTAAACAAAAACAAATTATAGAACCTCCAAAGCCTACAGATTACATACAAAATTTTTATGCTGGGGCGGTGGCACATGACTTTGATCCCTCCACTTTGAAAGCAGAAGCATGTGGTTCTTTGAGAACTCAAAGCCAGCCTGTTCTGCACAATGAGTTCCAGGACAGCCATTGCTATTTCACTCTTGTGTATGGAATACATACTTCTTTTAGAAAAAAAGGAAGGGGACCTTTGGTTTTTGTTTTTGAAGCTAGGATTCCTCTGTGTAACAGCTCTGGCTATCTTAGAACTATGTAGACCAGGCTGGCCTTGAACACACAGATCTGCCTGCCTCTGTCTCCTGAGTACTGCAATTAGAAGTGTGTGCCACCATGCCTGGCCCAGTCTAGAGTCTTAATTTGAGCATTTTTTATGTGTCTTGTGGTTCAGTGTGAGTTTTCTAAAGATGATTGTTTTCTTGGGTCAGGGCACAGCTCAGTCCATAAAGTGCTTCCTTTGAAAGCCAGGAGGACCTGGGTTCCGGCTCCAGGCTGGGTTGTCCTCAGGCCTTCACACATATTCGCATGTGCACATGCAGATACACACATGCATTTTTGAGAAGAAAAATATCTGTTTTCTTTAGGATAACTACACAGCCTTCAACTTGATAGAGAATTAAAGGTCAGGTAAAACATCACATTTTCTGTGTGTGTGTTTGTGTGTACACACACGTGTGTGGTCTTGCACAGGCTGTAAAAGCACTCTATTCCTAAGCTGTCCCCTACTTTGTATGACTGTCTGAATGCTGCAGACTCCAGTTCTCTAGGAACGGCTGCAGCAAGCTCATATAGCACAAGCTCATCTAATGACTGACTGACTCTTTACATTGCAGATGACGTACAGGAAGCTTATAGCTTAATCAAGGATCTGGAGCCTACGACGCCTCAGGTAAGTGGAGGTGCCATGTACTTCTGTTAGCCGTGGGCTGCGGAGCAGCACTGCAGGCCATAGCTGTAGGGTGCAGCAGAGAAGAGTCCCGTTGTAGTGTCCAGGAAAACTATCAATGGCATGGGGACTTCAGGATGAGAGTGATTGTTCTGGGCTTTGTTTTTTTTTAATGTGGTTCAAGTCCCTTAATATCTATTTTATTCCTAAAAAGATCAAAAGTTTGAAAATATTAAAATCTGTTTTAAAAAATTTACATCTATAGTACTAATGGAATAAACAACTCCTAACTTGTCTCTAATATTAGTGTCTGCAGCTTGTCTCTCTTCCCTCAGTAAGCTGCTCACTCCCTGCAGTCAGGAACTGTGTCTCTACCACATCTCCAGCACTGTGTGCTAAGTACATAGTAATCCAGCACTGTGTGCTAAGTACATAGTAAGCATCCCTTCACTGAGTAGAAGACTGCATGAGGCCAGCAAGATGGCTCAGTGGGTAAAAGCTCCTGCCATCAAGCCTGAGTTCGGTCCCTGGAATCCACATGGGAGAAGGAAAGTGATAAATCCCACACTTGTCCTCTGCCTCCACACGCATGCTATAGCGTGTACATGCACACACACATGAACACACGTGCACAACACACACTCGTCCTCTGCCTCCACACGCATGCTATAGCGTGTACATGCACACACACCCATGAACACACGTGCACAACACACACTTGTCCTCTGCCTCCACACGCATGCTATAGCATGTACATGCACACACACCCATGAACACATGTGCACAACACACACTTGTCCTCTGCCTCCACTCACATGCTATAGCATGTACATGCACACACACCCATGAACACACATGCACAATACACACTGAATAAATGTTAAAAAAAAAGAAGAAGAAACAAAGACAGGAAAACAATCTGAATATAAAACACTTCCCAACTGGATAGAACCTAAACAAGTCTTTTTCTCAAGGGCACTAAAGGCTACCTAGAATGAGCCCTCTTAATGAGTTAATGATATTTCTAAGGAAAGCATTATTAAAATTTTGAGCCAAGACTGAAAAAAATAGGGTACAGATGAGGCCATAGGCCACCGAAAGAGAAAGTATCTTATAAGTATCAGATGTTCAGGGAAAGGGCCAAAGCGTACTTATTGTGACACTGGAGAGAGGGAATGACATACGGTTAGTAGTCATTTTCCCACAAGCAGTGTCTCCGCTGTTCTTTGAGACAAGGTCTCTCACTGGCAGGGGCTCACTGACTAGGCAAGCCTGGCTTGCCTATTAAGCCCCAGGAATCTGCCTGTTTTCATCTCTCCAGGACTGGGATTACAATTTCTGTGGGGTCTGGGGATTGAACTGGGGTCCTCATGCTACATGGTAAGTCCTTTGCTGTCTGAGCCATTTCCCATGTGTTTCTACTTAGGACTGAGCTTTTACGATGATAAACTCTGCTCTATGAGCACTTGCTTGCTAGAAGTCAAACCAAACTCTGCTTCCTTCCATAAGCCAGGGGTAGAGCAGGGACAGGGATTTCATAGCAGGTAGAGTAGAGTTGGTCAAGGGGCCACCAGGAAATCCCACACAATTGATTTATGGCGTGATTGTGTTTTCCAGGAGTACATTCTCAAGGGAGTTGTTAATGCAGCCCTTGGCCAGGAAATGGGTTCGGTGAGTATGAAATCATTAGCAATCCATACTTTGCCAAGTTCTGGTTATATAAAAACTGGAATGGATGTGCAACCAATGGCAAGCTTACAATCACTGGGTTCTTCTGCAGGTCCTTGTACTTTATTGTTGGGGGTGGGGTGCTAGGAAGCAAACCCTGTGCTAGGTATATACTTGCTTTGAGACATATCCTTGGTCCTTCAGTTCCTTATAATTCTTTAAACCCTCAAGTCCAGGATCCCTGCAAAAACAGTTCTATTATGTGGAGATTTTTAGCTTTAGTCCATAAAACTTGCTATTTTGTTTCAAAGAGCCCCCATGTAATATGGTCATCTCTTTACTGATGAACACAGAAAATGGATTTGGTACCTAGAAAATGGGAAAATTCTTTTTTTTTTTTTTTTTGGTTTTTTTGAGACAGGGTTTCTCTGTAGCTTTGTAGCCTGTCCTGGAACTAGCTCTTGTAGACCAGGCTGGTCTCAAACTCACAGAGATCCGCCTGCCTCTGCCTCCTGAGTGCTGGGATTAGGAAAAATTCTTTCTTTAGAAAAGCTTTTAAGGTACTGGGGATATACCCCCCATCTTTTCTAAAAAAGCTGTTTTGTTTTTTAATTTTGGTTTCATGAGATAGGGTCTTTTGGTTTTATGAGACAGGGTCTCAAATACTATATCCCCAGGATGGCCTTGAATCCATACCAATCTGCTGCTGCTTCTTCTTCTTCTTCTTCTTCTTCTTCTTCTTCTTCTTCTTCCTTCGTTCTTCTTTCTTCTTCTTTTTTGGTTTTGTTTTTTTGTTTGTTTTATTGACAGGGTTTGTGCCGAAACTCTCTCTGTAGGCCAGGCTGGCCTCAAACTCAGAGATCCCCCTGCTTCTGGAGTAGTGGGTTTAAAGTCATGTGCCGCCACTGCCCAGCTAAAGAGCGTCATATAACTAAGAAAGCAGTCTAAAGTTAGGCTGCTGTTGGGCATGGTGGCAGATACCTATAACTACAGACTCGGGAGGCCAAGGCAAGAGGATCTCAAGTTCAAGGACAGCCTGAGTTATATAGTGCAGCCCTTTCTCAGCAACAGACAGGCAGGCAGGCAGACAGATAAACTAAGGTTTCTATCCATGTTAATGTTGCATATTAAGTTCTTTATGAAACAATACAATAACGACTTTCATCTCTAGATCGCTCCATGTAGGCAGCAAATATTTACTACATAAATAAATAAGTCTAATGATCCTTGTTATGCCTATGGCTTCTGTACAAAGTTCAGGCACAGTCAGAGAGTGTGTTGCATATTTATTGAATGTGTTAATTAATTTATTTAATGCAAGGGTTTTAGGGTGAAATTTCAAGGTTGAATTCTTCCTCTCTAATTGACTCTAAGTTTTCACAAAATTTCTTGGTGCTTGTAATAATAAGCTAATAAGAATTTGAGCATGATTTAAAACAAGGATATTTGTTAAATGACATACAGGAAAGTGCATTGTAATCTTAAGTATAATATAAATAAAATATTTGTGCCTGTTTCCTCTCTATCTGTTCTGTTCTGTTTTGCAGAGGGATCATATGAAAATTGCCCAGCAGTTTTTCCAGTTGGTGGGAGGATCAGCTAGTGAATGCGGTATGTCACAATCTGTCCTTTTTTTTTTTTTTTTTTTTTTTGTTTGTTTGTTTGTTTTTTTTTTTTGGTTTTTCGAGACAGGGTTTCTCTGTGGCTTTGGAGCCTGTCCTGGAACTAGCTCTGTAGACCAGGCTGGTCTCGAACTCACAGAGATCCGCCTGCTTCTGCCTCCCGAGTGCTGGGATTAAAGGCGTGCGCCACCATCGCCCGGCTCACAATCTGTCCTTTTGAAAATAATTTATAATTGGAGTTGGACGAGATTGACTAGTGGAGTCTGACTGTCGAGGGACATGTCATGCTTCTCAATATGAAACAAGGGTTGGAACTGGAGATCAGAACCAGGTAGCTCCACGGCACGTTATTCCTCTGCTTGAGTTCGAAGGTGCTGGGTTGTGTTGGACAGATCACTGTGGAGTTGAGGTAAATACCAGTTGCATAAACCAAATCCTCATAAAGGCAGTTTAGGGAATACCAAAACCAGTATACTTGCGGGGGATGTGCTTCTTGTGGGCTCCAGGAGCCTGGGTTCAGCAGAATCTTCAATTTTAAAATCAGGACTTAGAAAGAGGTCCTGGGATTCATTCTTTATTTTATTTTAGACAGGGTTTCATTCTGTATACCTGGCTGTCCTAGAACTCTCTGTATAGACCAGGCTGGCATTGAACTCACAGAAATTCACTTGCTTCCTACGTAGAACCCCAGTAGCGCAGACAATAAGAGCAACAATGAATAAATGGGACCTCCTGAAACTGAGAAGCTTCTGTAAAGCAAAGGACACTATCATTAAGACAAAAAGACAACCTACTGATTGGGAGATGATCTTCACCAACCACGCATCAGACAAAGGTCTGATCTCCAAAATATATAAAGAACTCAAGAAACTAGACATCAAAGCTCTAATTAACCCAATTAAAAAATGGGGTACTGAACTGAATAGAGAATTCTCAACAGAAGTTCAAATGGCCAAAAGACACTTAAGGTCATGCTCAACCTCCTTAGCGATCAGGGAAATGCAATTCAAAACAACTCTGAGATACCATCTTACACCTGTCAGAATAGCTAAAATCAAAAACATCAATGATAGCCTATGCTGGAGAGGATGTGGAGTAAGGGGAACACTCATCCATTGTTGGTGGAAATGCAAACTTGTGCAACCACTTTGGAAATCAGTGTGGCGGTTTCTCAGGAAACAGGGAGTTAACCTACCTAAATTTTTTTTAATTTTTGTTTTTTCAAGACAGGGTTTCTCTGTGTAGCATTGTAGCCTGTCCTGGAACTTGCTCTGTAGACCAGAATGGCCTCAAATTCAAAGAGATCCACCTGCCTCTGCCTCCTGAGTGCTGGAATTAAAGGAGTGCACCACCGCTGCCTGGCTCCTATTTCTAAATTCTACAACAACTTAAATTTTAACTAAAGACAACTTGTAGTTTCATGAATATCTATGGCTTCTTCTCCCTTCCCCTAACCTGATTTTAGATACAATACCAGGGAGGCAGTGCATGGCTTCCTGTTTCTTCCTGCTTAAGCAGTTTGATGATGTCTTGATTTACCTCAACTCCTTTAAGGTCAGTATGAATTATCTGTGTATGTGCCTTTATGTATGAAGCACTTTACATGCTGTGTTAGATGGGAATGATGACCGAGGCAGGAGAATTAAGAGTTCAAGGCCAAACTGGGCATGGTGGTGCAAGTCTTTAATTCCAACACTCAGGAGACAGAGGTAGGCGGATCTCTGTTATTGGCCAGCCAAGTCTACTGAGTTCCAGGATAGCCAAGGTTACACAATGAGACCCTGTCTCAAAACAACAACAAAAAAAGAGTTCAAGGACAATCACAGCTCCCCCCGAGTGAAGTTATACTTTTGTTGCTAGCTCCTTTCTCTTATGGTATTGATAACATCAAGGAATTAATATAATCCTTTTTGTTTGTTTGTTTGTTTGGTTGGTTGGTTGGTTGGCTTTGTTGGGTTTTTATTTGGGTGATTGTTTTTGAGACAGTTTCTCTGTATAGTCCTGGATGTCCTGGAATTTGCTCTGTAGATCTGGCTGGCTTTTAACCCAGAGATCCATCTGCTTTTGCCTCCCAGCTTCGAGGATTAGAGGTGTGTGCCACCACACCTTGCTTCATTCTGTAAGATTATTTCTTTTTTTTATTATTAATTTATTTATTTATTAAAGATTTCTGTCTCTTCCCCGCCACCGCCTCCCATTTCCCTCCCCCTCCCCCAATTAAGTCCCCCCCCCCCAGCCCGAAAAGCAATCAGGGTTCCTGTCCTGTCTTTTGGGCAGCAAAGTTGCTTTGAAAGTTTGGTGACGTGAGTTCAGTTCCCAGACCTCATGTAAAGATAGAAGGAAAGAGCCAGAGCTGACACTTCAGAATTGTCCTTTGACCTCCACGTGTACCATGACACACACATTACCCCACTCCCACCAACACACACACATTGTTTTTTCTTTTGAGACAGAGTTGCACTATGTCACTCTGGCTGGCTTGGAATTCATCAGATAGCCCAGGCTGGCTTCAAACTCACAGAGAGCTGTCTGCCTCTGTCTCCTAAGTGTTGGGATTAAAGATGTGTGGCACCATGCCCAGCAATAATAAACTTTAAGAAGATTATTTTTTTAGTTAGAATAGCTGATGATTATTCATCATTAGTCATTATTTTACTAGTCAGTATAGCCAATGATTTTGTATTTTCCATATTGATACTCAGTATGTCCTGTTCTTGGCACATTTTGTAGAGTTACTTCTACAATGATGACATCTTTAACTTTAATTATGCCCAAGCCAAAGCTGCGACAGGCAACACCAGTGAGGGTGAAGAGGTGAGTACCTGTTTTTGTTCTTTTTAAGATGGTCCAGGTGGGCACACTTTAGGCTCCTCTGTGAGTGCAAGGCCAGCCTAGTCTACAGAGCGAGTTCCAGGACAAGCTCCAAAGCTATACAGAGAAACCCTATCTCAAGAAAAGAAAAGGAAAAGGAAAGAAAGGAAAAAAGGAAGAAAGAAAAAGAAAGGAGAGAGAGAGAGAGAGAGAGAGAGAGAGAGAGAGAGAAACCCTGTCCAGAAAAACAAAAAACAAAATCAAAAAATGGTGACACTTATTCGGGTGCCTGCTTTTAAAAGCTTTTGAATGATCATATCTGAAAGAATCCTTAGCTTCTTCTCACTAAAATAAAATGGCCAAGGGTAAAGGACTATTATAAGTTGATTTAGCTAGGGACTGGTACCCTATTCCTGTAAACCCAGCACTTAGTAGCATAGGATCCTGAACTACATAGCAAGACTCTACCTCAAAAAACCAAAACACTTCAGAGAGGGGGCTGGAGAGATGGCTCAGAGGTTAAGAGCATTGCCTGATCTTCCAAAGGTCCTGAGTTCAATTCCCAGCAACCACATGGTGGCTCACAACCATCTGTTATGGGGTCTGGTGCCCTCTTCTGGCCTGTAGGCATACACACAGACAGAATATTGTATACATAATAAATAAATAAATATTTTAAAAAAAAACACTTCAGAGAGATGGCTCAGTGGGCCAAGAAAGTAGCTATGCAAGCCTGCTGACCCAAGTTCATCCCTGGAACCCAAATAAGAAAGCTGGCTATGGCAGCATTCTTATAGAGGGGAGGCAGAAGCAGGAGAACTATCTGGAAGCTTGCAGCCAGCCTGGGGTGCAGCACTTGCAACAGCAAAATGAAAGGCCCTGCTTCAGCAGGGTGGGAGATAAGAACAAGCTTTTGAAAGTTGTTCTCTGACCTCCATGTGCCCATCGTGTTAAACATGCACCATATACTCCTATGTGTGCAAGCACACACACAAACACACATACACAGAGTAAATAAATAATTTGTTTCATTATGGTTTACATTAAAAAGTACAATATCCCAGCTACATCCCCCCCTAGCTGGGGTGTGGGCAATGGAGGAATATGGGTCAGGGTTTAAATTTGTCTAAACACTAGGAATTAGAGGTCCTGGACCCTCAGTCTGTGAGACTTTATTTGCTGAGTCAAGTAAGAGCCTAAGTCTGTGGTCATGAAGGTTCTCCGCCAGGGTCACACTTAAAACTATTTGGGAAGACTATGAAGAAAAGAATGGGGTACGAAGAGACTGGAAATGTGTTTCTAGAAATTTGTATGTCATAATCTCTTTTGGAAATCTCTACATTGTAATCAAAAGATTGTCATTTAATATTTGATACATGAGTAAATGTGTTTTTTTAAAAATAAAAAAAAATAAAAAGTACAATATCAGGCTAGAGAGATGACTCAACCATTAAGAGCACTTACTGCCTTTGTAGGAGACCAGGGTTTAGTTCCCAGCACCTATATGGTAGCTTACAACTGCCTGTAATCCAAATTCCAGGGGATCTGACACCTTCTTCTTCTGTGGGTTCTTGCATGTTTATGGTGTGCATAAATTCAAGTGGGCTCACATGCATACATATAAATAATAAGTCTTAAAAATACAGTGTTGGTCAACATATAAGTTTTATAATAATTGTGTTTTCCTTTAACTTCAGTTTTGCTAGAAAACAATAAGGCCTGGTCTAGTTGATTGTGTCAATTTTTATTGTTTACCCGGCCTCACATTTACTCCCTTTCTTTTCTCTCATAGGTCTTCCTTTTGATCCAAAGCGAAAAGTTGAAAAATGATTACATTTACCTCAGTTGGTTAGCTCGCTGCTGTAAGTTATCTTTCTCAACATCACAACAAGGATCCTCTTTTTTTTTCCATTAAGTAATCTGGAAAATCACGTGAAGCATTTTCTCCACTTTTGTGTTGTGTAGAGTGAGGAAAGGCTGGAATGAAGGGCTGTGTGGTGCCAGCTGCCGTGTGAATGTGATGTGATTAGCTCCCCCATTCCACACTGACTACCGCCGCCAGTGCAGCAAATGTCAGTTCTTTCAGCTCTGTTCAAGCTTGCAGGCTTTGTGCTCGGTGCCATTAGAGAAATGGTGCTGTCACGCTGATTTTACCTTTTCATTTGTCAAGCCTGAAAAGTGGTAACATGTCAAAACGTAATTTCTGTTCATTGCTCACCTGTAAGAAGTCTCTCAGATCTCTTTTCTTAGATTTTTTTTGCATATATTCACTATACGTAGTGCCAGGTTTCATCAAACAACTTCAAGTATATCACACACTCTGACCGTATTCACCCCACATACCCTCCCATAGTTTCCTCCACTCCCCATCTCCTCTGCTTTCATGTCCTATGGAGAAATGGTCTTGTGAATCTGTATAAAATCTAGGATTTACAAACGAGAGAAAACATTTATTTGCCTGAGTTTTCATATGTTAATATGATGTTCTTAAATTGTATGTTTCCTAAAACATGACATAATTTTATTGTTCTTTGTATTGTGTGTGTATACTTTATCTGTTCATCTGCTGGTGGGTACCTGGGCTATTTCCCCAGCATGGCCATTATGAATAGTGCAGAAAGAAACATAGCTGTACAGGTGCCTGTGATAGAAAGACCTGGAATGCTAGTGTAGGTTTATTCGAGGCAGTTTTGCTTTGTTGTTTTGTGGTGCCAGGGATCAGTCTTGGTCCTTGTGTGGGACAGGCCAGTGCTGTACTGCTCTAACCCAACCCCCCATTGTGAGATTTTGAGGACCTTTGATAACAAACTTTTGAACCTGTTGGACTAATTTATAGTCCCACCAGCGGGTATCGTCCCTTCTCTCCACACTCTCCTTACTTGTTTTGTTTGATGGCCATTCTGACAGGATGAAATGGAATCTCATATGGTTTTAATTTTCATTTCTCTGATTGCTAAGGTTGGTGGACATTTTTCATATGCTTACTGTCCATTTTACTTTATATTTTCAGAACTGTTAAGTTTTTTAGCCCATTTGTTGGTTGGGTTATTTAAATGGGGTATTTTGAGTTTTTGGAGCTCTTTACATCAGATACATTGCTAACGGTATTTTTGCCCTGTCTGTAGGCTGCTGCATCACTCAGGTGCTTCTTTGGCCACACAGAAGCTTCTTAATTCGTGACGTCCCATTTGTTAAGTCCTGACCTCATTTATTAAGCTATTCCTGTGCTTTTGAGAAAGACCTGCTTATGCCTCTATCTGGGAGTATTTTCTCTAACAGTTTTAGCGTTTCAGCTTACTGTAGGTCAAGGTCTCTGATCCACATGTTTAAGTAGAATGAGAGATAGGGATCTAATTTCATTCCTCTGCATGTGGATGTCCACTCCCCAGTACCATTTGTTGAATATGTATTATCAATATATTTTCCCCAATTTATGTTTTGAAACTCTTGTTAGGCCATAACTGTGTAGATTTAATTGTGAGTCCTTTATTCTGTTCAGTTGAGTTATATGTTTGCTTTTGTGCCTATACCTTTTTATTTATTTTTTATTTTTTATTTTTTTGGCTTTTCGAGACAGGGTTTCTCTGTAGCTTTGGTGCCCATCCCGGAACTAGCTCTTGTAGACCAGGCTGGTCTCGAACTCCCAGAGATCCACCTGTCTCTGCCTCCCGAGTGCTGGGATTAAAGGCGTGCGCCACCACCGCCCGGCCTCTGTACCTTTTTTTTATGTCCATGTGAATTTTAGTATTTTTTTCCCTTTTTTGTTGCTGTGAAGAACAACATTGGAATTTTTGTGGCAATTGCATCGAAACTGCATATTGCTTTTGGTAATATAGCCATTTTTTTTTTGCTGACTCAATACCACTGGGGCTCTTTCATTTTTCTAGTGTCTTTTTTTCTTTAGTGCTTAAAATTCCATTGTGTGGGTTTCTTACTTCCTTGGTTAGGTTTATTCCCAGTTGCTATTATGTGTCTTTAAAGCTATTATAAATGGTATTGTTTCTCTGATTTCTTTCTTGGGAATGTGTTATTGGTATATAAAAAAAAACTACTGTTTTTTTTCTGGTTGATTTTTATATACTGGTAGAAAGGGTTAATCAGGTTTTAAAGTCTTCTGGTAGAATTTTCAGAGTTTCTAGTGTGTAAGATCATACCTGTAAGTAGGGATAATTTGACTTCTTTCTTATTTCTGTTGTTTTATTTGTTTCTCTTGTCATATTGCTCTAGTTAAGACTTCAAAGAATAAGAGTAGAGAAAAGTTTTAAAATTTTAAAATATTTTAAGGGGTGGAGAAAATAGACACCTTTGTATCATTCCGGGTTTTAATGGAAAGTCTGAGTTTCCCCCATTTAATGTTTGCTGTAGGTTTTCTCTCTTGCTTATTTACCATTCTTCTGTGGTTAATTTTTCCTATGCCTCCATGGATATGTTTGTCTCCTTTCAGTGTGTATGTACCTCCCACATTTTTTTTTAGTTTGTATTTATCATGACAAGTTTTTCTTTCTTCAGTTATGAAGCATGGCTTTGCTGAATATACTAACCTGAGTTGGTGATAATAATAAAGACAATAAGCCGGGCGATGGTGGCGCACGCCTTTAATCCCAGCACTCGGGAGGCAGAGGCAGGCAGATCTCTGTGAGTTCGAGACCAGCCTGGTCTACAGAGCTAGTTCCAGGACAGGCTCCAAAGCCACAGAGAAACCCTGTCTCAAAAAACCAAATAAAATAAAATAATAATAATAATAAAAGACAATAGTCTGAGAATTTGATATATGTCATTCCATAAACTTTTAGAGTTTCTGTTGCAAAACTTACTCTTGTTTGATGGAGTTGTCTTTACATATTGCTTCATGCTTGTCCCTTGAAGCTTCTAATGTTCTTTTGGGCCCTATATGTTTAGTGTTTTAACGATTGCATGGGAAGTTCTTTTCTGGTCCTATCTTCTTGGCATTCTAAAGGCCTCCTGTGTCTAGATGGGTATCTCTTTCCCTAGACCTTCACATTTTCCTACTGGGATCTTATTGAATATATGTCTGTGCCTCTGTCTTCAAGTCTCTCTCTTCTATGCCCATGAATCATATATTTAATCTTTTAATCATTTCATATATCTCATTTTTTCATCTTCCATTAATACTTTATATTTTTTGCTATATGAATTTTCTAATCATGGTATTAATCATTCTCTAAAGGACTAAAACAGAGACTGTTACACACACACACACACACACTTAATGCACACACACATACATGTATATAATTTGCTATACTTCCAAGCTAGGTTACAGCACCCAATCAGCTGGCAACCTTCTGTTACACTAGCTCCAGGGCATCCAGTGCCCTTTTCTGCCTTCCAAGGGTACACACACACAAATTAAGTTTTTTAAAAAAAGGTGGCACACTTTTATAACCTCATCACTTGAGAGGCTCAAGGTTGAGGCTGGAGGCTCGAATTGAGCAATAGCTTAAGTAATATCTTGACACATTGTCATAAATATAAATAATATACTTGTTTCCTTTTGTAGATATCATGAACAAAAAACCGAGACTAGCTTGGGAACTTTATCTCAAGATGGAAACCTCCGGCGAGTCCTTCAGCCTCTTACAGCTCATTGCCAATGACTGTTACAAGGTGAGCTTGTGTGACGGGAAGGGAAACAAGATCAGTGTCACGATTCCTCAGCTAAACGTTAGTCCTAGAGACTGACTAGCTATTGGTGAGAGATTGCCACCCTTTTTATGAATTACATGAACTCAGGGATGGGCGAGTATTCCAGAGTCTCATGTGCGTATGAACGATGTTTAGAAGGAGGCCTCTGATTTCTAAGGCCATGAAAGCTCAGCTGCTATCTAGGTAGAAATATTCAGCTGATGGACAAAATTTTGGTTCTGAACTTGAGAAACATGTCATCCAGAAACAGATCAGGACTCACGATCAACATTTACATTCTGATTAGCTAGGTATGGTGGCACATACCTCTGATTTCAGCACTTGGAAAGCAGAGGCAGGAGGATCACTACAAATTTGGAGGCAGCATAGTTTCAAGACCAACCAGGTTTACCTAAAAAGATCCTGTTTTAGAGAAAGAGAAAAATGGAGCCCTCAGAATCAGTGAGATTATGGGTTGGCAAGATGAATTATTGATTAAAGCACCTGCCACTAAGACACCTGATGATTGAGTAAAGTCCCTGAAACCCACATGGTAAAAGGAGAGACCCGTTCCTGAGAGTTCTTCTCTGACCTTCATGCACACACTGTGGCACACAGGCACTCATAGACACAGACACATATGCACACACTGTGGTACACACACGGGCACGCACACACACACACACACTGTGGCACACGGACAATCATACACACTCGGGCACACACACACACTGTGGCACGTGGCCATTCACACACAGACACACACACACACACTGGCACACGGGCACTCACACACATATGCACACATTGTGGCACACAGGCAATCACACACACACACCTTTTCCTGCCTTCTCAGCCTGTGTCTCTCCCTCCCTCTAGAGTTGTGAAGCTGGGAACATAGGTGAGTGGTAGAGCATTTACCTACACCATGCTTCAGACCCTAAGTTCAACCCACAGTGCCACAATAAAGAAATTAATTTATTGATCTCAGTTCTACGGATAAGAAACATTTTCAGGGCTGGAGAGATGGCTCAGAGGTTAAGAGCATTGCCTGCTCTTCCAAAGGTCCTGAGTTCAATTCCCAGCAACCACATGGTGGCTCACTACCATCTGTAATGGGCTCTGGTGCCCTCTTCTGGCCTGCAGACATACAGACAGAATATTGTATACATAATAAATAAATAAATATTTTTAAAAAAAAAAGAAAAAAGAAACATTTTCATACTCTTTATGGGGAGGGCATCATCGATCTCAACATCCAAACCAAATTCAGGAGGATCCCCACTTTTGTATAGTGATCATAGTAAAAACAAATTGGTCCCCAGATTAATAAGGAATATCATATACATTATGCTGAGTAAAGAAAACTTTTGTGTTTTATAACATATATAAAAACATTCTTTTTTTTTAAATATTTATTTATTTATTTATTATGTATACAATATTCTGTTTGTGTGTATGTCTGCAGGCTAGAAGAGGGCACCAGATCTCATTACAGATGGTTGTGAGCCACCATGTGGTTGCTGGGAATTGAACTCAGGACCTTTGGAGGAGCAGGCAATGCTCTTAACCGCTGAGCCATCTCTCCAGCCCTAAAAACATTCTTGAAATTATAACATTATCAATGACAATATTATCAAGAAAAGATTGGTGGGCTGGGTGTTAGGGATGCTCAGTAAACAGGGAAGGGCCTGAAGTCACTGTGGACTGGAAACAAGGGAAATCTCTGGTGAGGGAGGAATCTGGATCTTGGAAGTGGAGGACCTTGGTGTTCCACTCAGGACTGTCACCTCAGCGGTGCCTACGGAAGCTTCCTGGTTCAGATCTTTTCACTATAGCTGTAGAAGCGATAGGCACTGGGAGGAATTGTGAGAGGCACAGGAGACACCATCCTGTCTGTGCATCTTCCTATAGATCTGTAACTATTTCACAATAAAACTGCGGTGTTAATGGCTGGAGAGATGGCTCAGCAGTTAAGAGCACTTGCTGCTCTTCCGGAGGACCCAGATTTGATTGCCTTGGTGGGTCACAGCCACTGCAGCTTCAGTCTCAGGATCTGATGCCTCCTTTGGACATTCATGGGCACCAGGGGCACCAGGCATCCACACTGTCTACAGACATGAATGTGGACGAAACAACCCTACATGTAAAATAAAACTAAAACTTGGCCAATGAGATCATTCTGTGGGTAAGACACCTGATGCCTACTCTGACAGCCTAGTGTGATCCCCGGGACCCCATGGCAGAAAGAGAGAAATAACTCCCACAAGTTGTCCTCTGGCCTCCATGTTTGCATGACATGTGTGCAGGTAAACAAACAATGAAATAAAAACATACAAATAAAATAACCTTAGAAAAGTAAATAATTAGTACTATATGTGATAGTATAGATGGATGTTAAAATTTTGAGTCAAATTCAAGACAAAGTATTTTATATAGATAAAATTCTGAGAGGCAAAATTTGATGATATCATTTAAAATGCAAAGAGGCCCAGTGAGATGACTCAGCATTTAAAATTACTGGCTTCTAAGCATCGCGAATCTCAGTTTGATACCTGGGACCCACATGGAAGGAAAGGACTGGCTACCACAAGTTTTCCTCTGATGTCTACACATATAAATAAATAAAGCACACATATTCCCCCAATACAACATTTAAAAATCATTTTAAAAGTATAAAGAAAGTCTAAGGATTGAGCATGGAAGTGGGAACAGCAATTGCTGCTTAGCAATGAAAAAGCAGGGATTATTGTCAGGTGATATGCTAAAGGTCTTGTTCTCCACATCCCGTGGACCTGGGTGCTTGGTCCACTTGTGTTCACACACAGTAAGTTGTACCTATTTCGTACATGGCTTTACCTGTGTTATCTAACATATTGTGAAGACAGAAAGGTTAGCCCTGAGAAGAGGAAGAACACTTGTTTTGCGACACAGGAAGAAAGATGGGACAAGGGAAGGGTATTATTTGTTCTGTGGGGAGAAAGTTTGTGCTTTCCTTGCCGTATAAAGCCTAGAATACCAGGAGGCTGAGGCAGGCAGATCTCTATGAGTTTGAAGCTAGCCTGGTCTACAAGAGCTAGTTCCAGGGCAAGCACCAGAGCTACACAAAGAAACCCTGTATCAAAAAACAAAACAAACAAACAAAAAACAATTAACAAAAAAGTCAATATTAGCAGGGCAATGGTGGTGCACACCTTTAATTCCAGCAGAGGCAGGCAGGTCTCTGTGAGTTCAAGTCCAGCCTGGTCTATAAGAGCTAGTTCCATAGTTCCAGGACAGGCTCCAAAGCTACAGAGAAACCCTGTCTTGAAAAACCAAAATAAATAAATAAATAAATAAATAAATAAAGCCGAGAATACAGTATAGACTTAAGGACCTGGTCAATGGCTGAGGAGGAGGCTGGAGGGGTAACTACATCAACAGTGAGTTGGATCACCCAGCAACTGGAACCTTAAGAGCCAACTCAGTTGTGCTCAGCATGTCCCATGAGGCCAAGGGAATGTATCATGTCTTTGCGAAAGATGTCTGTCAAATTGAATTAAGAGATTTTTGTGCTTAGACTTGGCACTGCCCAGAAATTCTAAGCATTTAAGGTACTTGGGAAAAGATCAGTCTTTTGAGTTGTATATGATCAGATTAATGTATTGAAAAGACTTGAAAATACCTAAAAACAAAACAAAAACAGCTATTGGTTTCTCACAAGAGCAGACTAGAATGAGAAGAAATAACTGTCTTGATGGCATTGTAATTCAACAGTATGTAGACAAAATGTTCTGTTGCTGAAAGAAAGGGCATGTGGCTTTAAACAGACCTATACACTTCAACTGTGGTCCTCTTATTTTGGACAGGAATTGAAATGCACCTAAGTTGCTACCTCAAAGTGGTGTGTGTGTGTGTGTGTGTGTGCATTTGCTTCATCCTGTTCTGTTCTTGTTCTTTACTTTGTATATTTCATTGTGTTCCACCTCTTGTCTAAATGTCAATGTCACTACCATGCTTTGTTCTGTGCAGATGGGCCAGTTCTACTATTCAGCCAAAGCTTTTGATGTCCTAGAGAGGCTGGATCCCAACCCTGAATACTGGGAAGGCAAAAGGGGCGCCTGCGTGGGCATTTTCCAGATGATTTTAGCTGGGAGAGAACCCAAGTAAGTACCCAATAGATGGAGGCACTCTGTTCAAGCACGCCTGCGACAGGGTGCCTGTGGAAAGTGTGGGGAGAGAAACGTTGAGATGGCAATATTTTTGGTATGATAATTTCTTCCAGAAATGTCTTATTTTATGGAATCAAATGATTATAAGTCACACATACTGGGGACACTAAGCATACGAGAGCCTCCAAATCCAGGGCAAGGTGTATATCTGACTCCAGATGAACAGCTATTTCCATAAACAAATGTCATTCACATCTCCACTCTCTTCTCTGCCTATTGGCTTTTCCTTCTGTTGTCTAATTTAGGCCTCAAAGAAATAGGAACAGAGTAGACGTGGTTGATAATTTTGTTTTTGCTTCTGCCTTCTCATATTTCAGGAAATGCAGAGGTATTGATTATGTAAAACTAAGATGCTTATATTTCTATGTGAATAAAAATTAAAAATCTTAAAAATAAATTCCTAGCACATGGGATTCTGAAGCAGAATTGTGGGCTCAAGTCCAGAAAGGCTAGCCTCTGCTAAAATTCATTCATTAGTTCAGCGCTCTAAAAATAACTCTACACAATATATTCATTGCTTACTGCATACACAGAAAAATGTAATACTCTTTTTAAGCAAATTACCAAAATTTGCTGGGCGGTGGTGGAACCGCCTTTAATCCCAGCACTTGGGAGACAGAGGCAGGCGGATCTCTGTGAGTTCGAGGACAGCCTTGTCTACAAGAGCTAGTTCCAGGATAGCTAGAGCTATTACACTGAGGAACCCTGTCTCGAAAAACAACATTATCAAAATTTACTTCCTGCCATGTGTCTATTTACAATACCAAATAAAAGCACTTAGGTAGGTTGTTCCTCAGAGAGAAAGGGATAGAAAACAAGACTACAAGGGGAGCCACCCACAATCAGCTGCCAATGTTCTGATGAGACAGCAGGGAAGCTTCAGATCGCCTCACCTAAAATCCAAGCCTTAATTTTAATGAATTTGGAGCTCGAGATGGCTCGCAGTTAAGAACACTTGCTGCTTAGTCATGAGGACTGGAGTTCGAATCCCAGCACATATGTCAGGCAGCTCATAAACGCCTATAACTTCAGCTCCAAGGAGGAAACTCTTCCGTCCTCCTCAGGCACCTGCATACATATGCAAATATACTCACACAGACCTACACAAAGGGACTGGTCTTGTAGACCAGACTGGCCTCAAACTCACAAAGATTCACCTGCCTCTGTCTCCCGAGTGCTAGGATTGAAGGCATGCGCCACCACTGCCCGGCAAGTTAAGATATTTTTAAAGTGTAAATGCTATGTATTCACCAATTTTCAGTCCTTACTGCTATTCTCCTCTATATTTTTAATATTTGTGAACCCTTTCTAAACAAATCTGTTGAAGAAGCCACCCTTGGCTATGGGTTAGAAAACTAGCAACTTTGTAATTGGTTTATGCTCAGTGGAGGGCCCGTGAGCAGGGATGCCTCACTTAGATACAGTGTAACAGTGAGAGACTGTCAGCTTTCCTTCTCTATTGAGACAGTGTCTTTCAAACCCTTTCCCCAGAGAGACCCTCCGAGAAGTGCTACACTTACTGAGAAGCACAGGAAACACCCAAGTGGAGTATATCATCAGGATCATGAAGAAGTGGGCCAAGGAAAACAGAGTGCCTATCTGAACAGCTGAGCCCCAGGCCAGGGACCAGTTTCCTCTCACATCACATTGGAACTGTTTCCTGCACTTGAATATGTGGTCCAGGACCCTGTTTGACTGACATTTGTTCCTTGCTGTTAGCACATCAGGATGAGAGGCGGTACGTGTAGACTCACATTAGGCGGCACAGATCTCCCTGCTCTTTACTTGTGTAATCTAACATGAAAGGATTCTGGACTTCCCCGGTGCCTTTCTTCCAAAATCACTCAGAATACTCATATAATTCCTGGCTTTGAAGAGTAGATAATAGTTTTGTTTTTCTTTTTCTGTTAGCATTTCAGGAAATTTTCTCCTAGCTGCAGTGACAAGTACTTTCATACTAAAGAATTACTGTCATTTGATCCTCTTCCATCATCTTGTACATTAGCTCGTCCACGAAGAATGCATCTCTGAGTCCTGGGAGAAGTCTTCCCAGCTGTGTGATTCTAAGGATGGCCGTGAGACTCTCTACCACGCTGTGCAGTTGGCAGCAGAGAATAGGCTTAGAGATCACTCAGTAAGTGAACTCCGATTATAGCTTGTTGAGTGGTGTAGATTTTTAAAAGGAGAGGGAAAAGAAAAATGTAGCAAGTCGCTACTGCCTTGTATTTAGGAAACAAAGCCAGGGCAAACTTCTTTATATATCAGTTGAACGAACAGCAGTTTGAACATAGGGCTGCAAAGGTTTTTATAAAATATATGTATTTTTTTTTTGTTTGTTTGATTTGGGTCGTTTAAAACAGGGTTTCTCTCTATAGTCCTGGTTGTCCTGAAACTCACTTTGTAGACCAGGCTGGCCTCGAACTTGGAGATCTACCTGCCTCTGCCTCCAAAGTGCTGGGACTAAAGGTGTGCACCATTATCACCCGGCAAATTATATTGCACACACATGCACACATAATAGATTAATACAGTTATAAACAAGGGTCCCTGGACGAAAACTCCTAATGGCTAACATCTCCATTATATCTCAGCCTCTTGTCTCTGAGCTGTCATTATGGAACCCTCGTCATTCTACAACCAAGTATTCTTGGGTCTACGTCCCACTTTCAGAGAACAGACACATCTTTTCCTATATCAGATCACCTTGGTTTCTATGTTCTTCTGTAAGTCTGAGGTGCACTGTCATGGCTAGAACACGCAGACTCATCCTTAGGGAGCAGAGAGTGGGTAGGGAGAATGGAGGAGTTTCTGGAAGCGGCACTGGTTCTTCCCCATGCCCTGGCCTCCCGCTGCAGGTAGCATGGTGCTGCACAGCAAGAAGAGGGCCCGTTCAGAGAGACCAGCCAAAGCAACGGGAGCAGCGGCTGGACACAGCCTTCCCCTCTGGCCAGCCCCAAGGTGGTCTGCAGCTCTGCTCAGAAGAGGGCCAGTGTGCCATCTTTTACATAGGTCCAGATCTGATCAATGCAGAGCACAAATCAGTTCTGATCTAAAAGAACTCCAGGAAACAAAGCCGTTTTGTGACAAGAGTGTCTTGTTTTCTTGTTCTGTTGTTCCTACTTTTTCAATAACAGCTAATTTTCACTGTCAAGAATATTAGGTGGGTCAGATACGGCTGAACTTGGTATAGTTCTGTGAAACATTCTTGTAAAACTTACATTACTCAAAAGGAAGCAGAGTAGCTGGAGGGCGGATGCAACTCCTGGGGGCTATGGGCATCTTGCCGTGAACTGTGTTCAGGTCTAGTTCTTCATTCATGCTGGTGTACTTCCCAGTGAGGTTTTTCGAGTTTATTACTCAGTAGTCTGAAATTTTCCAGTCTTGAGGGAAGGATGTCTATTCCCCCAACACCAGAACTTTAGATTAGTTTTTAAAGTTTTTAATCTACAGCCTTGAGACAGAAACATGAAGGCTAGTTAAAACGAAGCACATGTAATTCTGTTAGAAGGGATAATTGCTTCTGATTGTTTCGACAGGGATCCAGGCTTCATGGCTGTGTTCTCTCACAGATGACAGCCCAGGACGGGGAATGTGTAATGTGCACAGTCTATAACATCAATATACTATTTAAAATCTGTAGTGCATACTTAGAAATGGAAAAAAAACCTTTTACAATTATTTTTGTATTGCAAAAGAATTATATACCGTTGTACTATATTTAAATTAAATTTTATTTTTTTGTTCTTTTTGTATGTGTTTATGTTTATATAGGTGTGCTTATATATGTCGAGGTCAAAGGTCAAGTTGAGTGTCTTATCTCTTTCCACCTTATATTTTAAAAGATTTAGCTTTCATTTTATATATGTATGTGGATTTGTGCACATGAATGCAGGTGCCCACAAAGGCCAGAAGAGGACATAGTTCCTTTGGAACTGGACTTAAGGTTGCTGTGAGCTGCTTGCCATGAGTGCTGGGAACTAAATTGTAGTCTTCTGCAAGAGTATTTGCTCTTAACCACTGAGCCATCTTCTGGCCTCCTGACCTTATTTTTTGAAACTGGGTCTCTCACTGAAACTGGACTTGCTCATTGGCAGTGCTGGCTAGCCAGCATGATGCTGGGTTACTCCTATCTGCTGTCTTCTCCTCCCTGACTGCTGTGGTTATGGGCACATGTTGGTATGCCTGGTTCTTACATGGGTGCTGGAGACCTGAACTCAGATGTATTGCATAGCAAGCACTTTGCTGACTGCGCCATCTACCCAGCCCTATTATTTGGTTCTCATCATGATATTTTTTGCATACATGTATGTCTGTGTGTGGGTGTCAGATTCCCTGGAACTGGAGTTACAGACAGCGTGAGCTGCCATGTGGGTGCTGGGAATTGAACCCAGATCCTGAGGGAGAACAGACAATGCTCTTAACTGCTGAACCATCTCTCCACTCCCTACCTGTGTCTTAAATGTGTCATATGTAAACATGTAAGCCCCAGAAACTTCTTAAATATAATCTTGATGTCAGCCAGGTGGTGGTGGTGCAAGCCTTTAATCCTAGCACTTGGGAGGCAGAGTCTGGCAGATCTCTGTGAGTTTGAGGCCAGCCTGATCTACAAAGCAGATGCCAGGACAGCCAGGACTGTTACTCAGAGAAACCCTGTATTGAAAACACACACACACACACACACACACACACACACACACACACACACATCTGAATGTCTTATGTACACCTAAAGGCTGCCCGGGGGTTTAGGCTAAGCTCAGGTGAGAGGGCAATGCACATGGACTGTGGATATATTTTTTTTTTTTCGAGACAGGGTTTCTCTGTAGCTTTGGAGCCTGTCCTGGAACTCCCTTTGTAGACCAGGCTGGCCTCGAACTCACAGAGATCCGCCTGCCTCTGCCTCCCGAGTGCTGGGATTAAAGGCGTGCGCCACCACCGCCCGGCCTGTGGATATATTTTATTTGTTCTATTCTATATACAGGGCCTGTGTGACCCTGGCTAGCTCGGGACTCACAGATCCACGTGTTTGCCTCCTGAGTGCTGGAATTACAGGCACAAGTCACGAGGATTTGCTGCTTGTTCAAGTTCTTTTAGTTTTTATTGACTCTTCTTTTAGACGGTGGTCTCCAGCAACCCTTAAGTGGAGGATGACCTTGAATTTATGATCTTTCTACCTCCACCTCCCAAGCGCAGGGATCACAGGCCTGGGCCATCCATCATTCCAGGTCATTTGAGTTCTTTAAGACACAGCATGGAGCCAGGCATGGTGGTGCACCTTTAATCCCCGCACTCTGGAGGTGGAGTCAGGTGCATCTCTGAGTTTGAGGCCAGCCTGGTCTAAGAAAGAAGAAACAACAAGCATGCCCTTCCATACTAGCTTTTACAGGATAGCCTAGCAATTCCATTTTTTAGCTACTTGCCCAAGAGACATTCTATGCAATCACAATATGCACAAGAATGCTACCTTGAACTGCTATTCTCAGGAGCAGCCTGAACACAATCCCAGTAGCTCTGGATGAGAGAATAAACTGTGATGTCCCAGTGGAATATTATACAACACACATTACAGGCGCTTGCAGCAGTAAGAGTGAACCTTAGCAATACTGAGCTTTACAGAAATAACCTTCCTGAAGTTAAAGATGATTAAAGTGGACACGGATACTAGAAAGGAAAAAGGAGGATGAGCACAGAGGTCAATACAGGTTACCAAGACAGGGAGCCAGGAGCTGGCATGGGGAGAGGCCACATAGGCTAGCAGCCAATTCTAGTTTTCATGTGGCTGCTGAGTCACAAGCAGAGTTAAGGTTGCAGAAAAAAAAAAAGAGTTACTGTAGCATGAATTCTAGTTGTCTTAATTAATCAATCCCCAGAGTCAGATACAGGGGTTAAAGCTGAAGATCAGAGAAGCAGAGCAGTCGGCCACTAGAGAGACCTCTCACCTCTACCAGTGCTTAGACTGAAGAGACTATCTAGATTGCCTAGACTGCACTGTGTCTCCACCAAACCTCAGACTCCACACTCCTGTGAGTTCCTGTCTCTTCCCCTTTACACTTCTCTCTCCACCCAGCCATATTGCTCCTGTCTCCACCTCCCTAGTGCTGGGATTAAAGGTGTGTGAGTCCCAAACACTTTCATGCTACAAGTTACTAATCAGTCAGCCTTAACATACGGAACTATCAGGATTCTCTGCTGGACTTGGTGTAATCACAGAAGTCCTTAAAAGTGGAAGGGGGAGCCAGGTGGTGGTGGCACACACCTTTAATTCCAGCACTCAGGAGGCAGGGGCAGATGACCTCTGTGAGTTGGAAGCCAGCCTGGTCTACAGAGTGAGTTCCAGGACATTCAGGGCTACATAAAGAAACCCTATCTTGAAAAAAAAAAAAGCGGGGGAGGGATAGAAGTGGGAGTCCAAGGTGGCAGCTTAAGGACATCTCAGCCAACGCTGCTGGCTCTTGAGATGGAGGAAGAGAGCTAGGAGCCAAGGGCTGAAGGTTTCCAGAAGCTGGTGCTTCCTCTGCAGCTTCCAGACAGGCCTACCATCCTGCCAAGGACTTAATTTTAGCCCAATTAGGCCTATTTTCAGACTTTGACTTTGTAAGATCGTTGCTTTTAGTCAGTGGTCTCTGTAATTTGTTAGCAGCCGGCAAGAAACTAGCACACTATTGAAACAATTCTAGGCCACATTGCTAAGTAGAAAAAGTGGGTTACAAAATACCATTTGATGTTGCCCCAGTTTGAATGTATCCCTGGAAACTCCTAGATTAGTTCTCTTTTCCTGTGTTTACGTGGTAATATACCCTAAGAATGCTATGAACAGAGCCTATTCTTCTGTCCTCCACCAAAAAAGGACCAGCAAGAAGCCACAGCGCATGGTGGCACACACTTTGATCCTAGCACTTTGGAGCTAGAGGCAGGAAGATAAGGGGCTCAGGGATATTCTCAGTTATATAACAAGTTTGAGGGCAGCCGTGACTTCATGACCCCGCCCTTAAAGATTTCAGTCTTATTTTATGTGCATACATGCGTGTCTCTGTTGGTTTGTACAAGTGAGTAAGGTTCCCTCCGGGGTAAGAGGAAGGCATCAATCTCCTGGGGATGCAATTGCAAGCAGTTATGAGTCACTCGCTATAGGTGCTGGGAACCAAATTTGAGTCCTCTGCAAAAACAGTGCATACTCTTAACTGCTGAGCCATCTCTCCAGCCCTGAAAACCTTATCTTTAAAGCCAAAAGGAGCTAGGTGTGGTAACACACGCCTTTTATTCCAGCACTGAGAGGAGACAGGTGGATTTTCTGTGATTTCAAGGCCAGCCTGGTCTACTCAGCAAATTCTAGGCCAGTCAGGGCTACACAAAGCAAACACATGTCTCAGAAATAAGATGAGGCCTGGAGAGATGGCTCAGAGGTTAAGAGCACTGACTATTCTTCCAGAGGTCCTGAGTTCAATTCCCAGCAACCACATGGTGGCCCACAACCATCTATAATGAGATCTGATGCTCTCTTCTGGTCTGTAGGCACACATGCAGACAGAACACTGTATACATAACAAATAAATAAATAATTTTTTAAGAAAAAAAAGATGAACCAAAGGTGGGGAGGAGGCTAGAAACAGGCACCTTGTTTTGAAATTTGAACCCCTGAGCTATGAGAAAATGTGTTTCTGTTATTTCCTTATTTGCAATCTACCAAGTCTCCAGTTGTGTACAACAGCACAACACAAAGGCATGGCTCCGTTCCTGTGTATTGACATGTACATGTATAGACTTCAAGAGCAGTCCCTACACAGTTCAACAGCACAACACAAAGGCATGGCTCCGTTCCTGTGTATTGACATGTACATGTACAGACTTCAAGAGCAGTCCCTACACAGTTCAACAGCACAACACAAAGGCATGGCTCCGTTCCTGTGTATTGACATGTACGTGTACAGACTTCAAGAGCAGTTCCTACACAGTTCAATTTGGACTTCTGCTAATATGTCTCTGTTAGGAGCTAGGGATGTAACTCGGTTGGAAGAGTGCTCACCAAACATGCATGAGGCCCCAGGATCCATCCCCCCAGCCCTGTACAAACTGGGTACAGTGGTTAACTCCTCTAATACCAGTACTCTTGGGAAGTGGAGGCAGGAAGATGATAGGTTCAAGGTCATCCTTAGCTACATAGTGAGTTTAAGGCTAGCTTGGGCCACATGAGAACCCATGTTTAAAAAAATAAAGCAAGGCAAAACATTACCCCTCTAATAGTTACTGAACTGGAAAAGGTTTTGCTATTGTTTTTGTTTGACAAACAAAAGACAGAAGTAGGCAGTTATAGGTATAGATTCAATGGTAGTGATATGTCTATTAGCTGGGTTTCATTGTACCGAGCATCACTACATTCAGCTCCAAGACTCACTGATTCCAGATTAGGTTCACAAGTGTGTATGACTTATGCACACATAGAGAAGAGAGTTTGAAGGCAAGTTAGGTGTTAAAGTGAAGCAAACAATTATAAAGGTGTTTAGGGGAGGAAAGATATTGCTACTTCATGGTTCAGCCATAAAATATATGGTTTACAAGACTGTAGGCAGGGACTGGAGAGAGGGCTCAGGGGTTAAAAGCATGCGTTGCTCTTGCAAAGGACCAGTGTTGGTTCCCAGCACTCATATGGTGATCACAACAATTACTAACTTCACTTCCATGGGACTCAGTGCCACCAG